TTCTGTCCCTAGAAATATCTAAAATATGCATGCAGTTTCCCTAGTTTCTATCACATGGAATTAATGGAATTAATTATAGGAAATTACTTAATTATTGGGAATTAAAGTTACTGGAATAAGTTTTTCTAAGATGAGCCAGTTATTATTACACTTGATTTAATACAATAGAATTGGATTCTGCTGGTTTTAGAACATATGATGCAGAGAAAAGTTTCAGATTTTTTTTTTTAGAATTATTTTTAAAAAATCACTGTAAGTAGGGTCATTTCTCCTGAATAGTCTTCTCCACAACTTCACAGGAGCTTCCTTTGCTGTCAATCAAAAGGGGTTTTGTCTTGGCTTTTCATTTCAGAGGGACTGTAATAGCATTTTCCTCTATTTGATCACAACTTCTCTGTATAGTTACCGCCTGGTATTCTGTTTTGTTTCTCTTCCAGAGTGAAAGAATTGAAAAAGGCCAAGGAACTTGAAGACATACAGCAGCATCCCTTAGCAATGTGACATTGCTTTTCAGACTGTTTTCATTTCTGTTTTTAGCAGAGACATGCAACAAAAACAACGACGCGCACATGTACACACACACACACACACACACACACACACACACACAATCCCTCTGCAGTTTTGGGGAGAACAGCTGCAGGATTTTAACAGGAATGTTTTGGTCATTGCATTTGCACTTTCATGGACAACTTTTAATTTGATCAGCAAGACATCTTGGAACTCAATCTTCTGTTGGATCATAGGAAAACAAGACACCAGGAGGAATTGAAAGAGGCTTCCTCTTCTTAAGGGGCCATTTTCCTTCTCATAGGGCTGTATTCAAACATCATGTGGAACTGTACAAATATTTATACCAAAAATATAGATAAGAAAAGGTGGGGATATGCTAGCGACAGGAGAACGCTGCACCCACACCTGTGGTTACTTCCGAGAAGCTGAATCTGTGGGCTCGATTCTCAGTGGAGGGCTTAGCGCATACAAATCCTTTTTGGGTCCATGTGTTCTCATTTTCTTCACTAGTTCTTATTTCGTTTTTGTTCACTTGTTTTAATCTCTACAGCACACTTAATGCAACTTTTGAAATCTGCAGGTTTTTAATGTCTTGTGGAAATTTGCAGAGGGGCGGGTGTGTAGTAAACGGGTAATGCATGGGAAATAATGAGAAACAGCTTACAGAGTTTAAATTTATTTTCATGTCCCCCCCACCTTCCAAGAACCTGCGAGGATAGTAATCATCTTGTCCCTTTTCTCATGTTCAGCACTTTAATTTTTTTTGCCTTACTTTCATGTGCAATGAGAATTACTTAAAGACTTGGTAAAGCATGTAGCCTTTTTTAGTAACCTTGGAAACTAGTAATTCCGAGGAATCATAAACCTTGCCTGGACATTTGCCACCTAAACGACCAGTGTGGTGCTGCGTTCTGGCCAGTAAATTCCATGTTCTTGGCTCTATCTCATCCAAATGGAGCAGTTTCTGTGTATATATAGAAAGTAGAAATGAAAAGTGAGAAAATATTTGAAAGGGATTATATTAATTGCTAAATATTTTATTCACAAAGGTCAATAACATGGCAAGATAAAATTATTTGTATAGTTTTGTCTGAATGAGCGAGAAAAATGTGGATGTATTGTTTGTATATATTGTATATATTAAAACAGAGATATGTGCATGAAATCAAGAAAAAAGAAATGAACAAAAGCAAAGCATTAGTGGCTATGGTCTGTAAAATGAAACAAAAAACCTTTATTTCACTATAAGAGTACTTTATTTTAAATGTTCTTTAGAAGAACATTTTGCTAAAGCATGATTAAACTGCAGAAAAAAAAAGAGCTACTGTATTTAGACTTAGGAACAAAGGCAGAGTAACATTACTTAAAAACAAAGGATATGTTTACATTTAATTTTGGCTACCAGGAGTTTAGTTTATTTTATTTAAAACTTTTTTTGCCAATGGTGCCAAGTAATGTGAATGCTAATATTGCTTAAGAAAATTAAGTTACTTTTGCAAAACAGATAATCATAAAATGAATCCTTATATAACTTAACACCATCCACTCACTCCAATGAAGAACACGTAGAATGATCAGAACCTGACAAAAGAAATAGTATGAAGAGTAGAAAAATGTCACATTTTCATACCTCCTGCTGGAAATCGGAAACTGTAATAAAATTAAATTGTAAAAAAGGGGAAAGTGAAAAAGAGACTGGTCTTGTAGAGATGCCGTGGTGTATTATTATTTCCACATAATGAGGAGCCAAAGAAATCTGATGCTTTTAAAATTAAACTACTAATGTCAGATTGAAAGGATAAAGTTTGCATTTGCTGATGCCAGTTTAAAATCCCCAGGTTAGGTTTGAGGATCAGTTGGTGTGAAGCTGAGATGTTTGTACTTGGTTCTGGCTGCCAACTGTGAGTTAAAACTCAAGGCTTGTTGTGAAGCCTAAAAATATTCACAAATAAGCTTTTAAACTGGTGTCTCTAGAAAGAAGGTAGATACAAAAAGATTGCGGTAAAAACTGGGGTCAGTGCTCTTGGTGCCTTTTCTATAATTGTACTTGTTTTTTAATTCCTTTCACTGCCAACCTCGAATTACTGTACAGTATATGTCTTTCTGCTTGTGATCAGCTCTGACAACAGTGACAGCCCCACAACTAGTAGCCACCTGTACATTTGTAAACTGACCTGACTCAATTTTGTTTTTAAATGTGTGGGTTATGTTGCAGCTGTTGCAGTACCACCCCCCCCAATGCCTATTATTTTACACACTTTGATCTGTAGGAGGACACTGAGTAATTTACCAACACACAATTGCATTCATAACTGGGAACAGAATGTGAAAGCCAGCTCTTTCAGAATATCCTATATTAATACTGAATTTGGATACATTTATTCCATTTATTATGGAGTACACATAACTGATCTTTTGACCGGAGTAATGACCTCAGTGGATTTGCTTTAACCCTCACATTTTTTTTTTAATGTTTCACATGCCACATTCTTAGCTGAATAAAATTCCAGATGATAGAGACTTAAATCGAATTAGGAGGTTTTTATGGAAGGGATAGGAAGTAGGTTCAAAACCTACCAGTACAACTGTGAATCCTAGGTGAGGTAAAAATGCACTTCCACTGAAACAAAGCATTTCTGACCGCTTTTTCTTGGTTGTGAATCTTAATTTCGAATATACGATGATAGGTAAGCGCAGCTTTCTTGGATAATCTGAATTCCCAAGTGCCAGGAGTAGGATTTCATTATAAAACTAATAGCTAACCTTATTCTGTCTCCTGAAGATTTAATTGCTATTCTTGTTACCCATTCAAAATCAGCTGTACTGTGTGAACAAAATAAAGACAACACCAACCCCTCTCTGGCTGCACGGACGCTTATGGCAGTTCCACACAGTAGCTGGTGCCCAATGGGGTGTCCCTGAGACTTGCATGTAAAACTAGTCTAGATGTCTTTTTTTTTGTAAGTTTTATTTTTGTAATTGTGCATGTAAAGCATCATTGAACCAATGGATCTGTTGAAGAACTCAGCTGCTGGAAACCATGCAAAATGTTTTGAATTGCCCTTAAAATATGGAAAATGTTTTCTGAATGCTTTATATTCTTTCTGCTGTAAATTAAAAATGAAGAAAATTTCCCCATATTGTGTGTTTGGCTTTAACTTGATACTGAAATCCAACATGTTGAGCACATGTTAAAAACCCTATGTAATAATTTAAAATATTTCCTTCTGATTCAGAGAGTGTTTTGACACTGAATATATTACATTTCAGATATAGCCACCAAAGAAAACATTTTAGAGCTGCTTTCTTAGAGGAAAGCTTTTCACCTGTCTGCACAAGCCTCTCTCAACACATCAATCGTTTGTCTAAGACAGTGCAGTTATTTGAAAGATAAAGATGCTGATCTAAATCCACCTTTTCAGTTAAAATCCTAATTTTTAACATGAGTATTCCCTCTAACTACCATCAGCCTAAGTACTTTGTCATCTTTCTTCCATTCCCTTTCACTGCAGACAGCCTATCCTATCCATTTCAAAACTGCCAAATTCTGCATGATGAATCCCCCACTCCAGTCTTGAGTGGGTTCTAGAGCCCCCTGCCTCTAAGTAACATTTGACTTGCTTGTTTATGCTCGCTCTGCCTTAGGTCTCACCTGTGCCCAACCGCCCTGTTTCCTTTTGATGGTCTGCGCACTGTTGTGTGCGATCTTTGTTCATGGTATTTGTTCATCCTTTGCCTGAAAAATTCTGTTTACTCATCTTGGACTTCTGTGGCTCTCGTTACAGTTAACATTTCTCTTTTCACTGACTCAGTTCGAAAGACAGTTCGGTGTTTCTCACTTGTCTGGGAGATGGCCAACTGACCTGTCACTGTATGTGTCCCTTGAGAGACTGTCTCTGGGTAGGAGAGTTCAGTAACAAGTGCTTTACAAATAGCCCAATCAAAGTCTGTGTTATGGGTGGGGACTACAGAAATGAAGAAACTAGTCAAATGCCAAGTCTCCCTTTGCCGGATTATGATATGGTCCGTGCAGTGACAAATACATTTGTGTCACTATTGAGAACATAAAGGGAACCTAATTCGCCCCAAGCCTATGATAAATATCCCCAAAGGACCTTTTATTCCATAACTTTCTTGGAAAAGCATGGTGTTTCCCCAGGATCACTAGGTTAAACTGGGCCATTAAGCATTAGCGCGTTCACTCTCCCAGCTACTATCAAGACTACAGAAATGGTCCACTGGCCCACTCCCCCTTCCTCAAAGACAGTAATCCCTTCCCAGTGCCCAATGCGCCACTGGCCAGGGCATGTCGCCAGCGAGGGCGGCGGTGGGAACCGAGAGCTGAAGCTGTTCACCTGCACTGCAGAGCCAGGCCCACGCGCGCCAGTGTAGCTGCTCGGTCTCCCGGCCCACGCACCTGGAGGGCTGGCCCAGGGAGGAGCTCCCCGCCCACTTCCGGCGCGCCCTCCGCCTCCGAGCGCGCCCCGCCCGCTTCTGCGGGGCCCCGCCTAGTGACGTCACCGCGGCGCCGCCCGGCTTCTGTCTGCGAAGCTCCTCAGGTCCTTCCCCATCGTCGCCGCCGCCGCCACCGCCAAAATGTGAGTGATGCGACACGACACAGGATGGCCTGGAGCCCTCGAGGCGGCTCCCAGCGCCTGGGCCCCGGGCTTGGTCGGGTGGTCAGCCGCCTGCCTCTCAGACGCGGGTAGCCGTCGCACGCGCATGCGCGAGCTGCCCGGGGCCTGAGGGTGGGCGCGGACCAAGGACCGGGGACGCCCCACCGCTCTGCGAGGGCCGGGCGGCAGAGCGGCAGTCCCCCGGAGGAAGCGCCCCACCCGGCCGCCCGCACTTCCCCGAGGTCCTTGCAGCTGCGTGCGGGTCCGGAAGTGTAGGGAAGGGACCTGGAGTGGACCTGACAGTCCCCAGGGCCCAGGTGTTCCCTAACCAGCCGGGGGCAGCTATGCTCGGAAGATAACTTGGCCTCGGGCCATCTGCTCTCCTCTGGAGCGAAAGCATTCTTACCGTGGCCCCAGAATCCCGGAGGAACCTCAGGGTAACCTTGGGAGAGTGCTGTTGTTAAGAATAGCCAGACCCCGGGGCTGTGGGGAAAGAGGAACCCTGCTCCACTGCTGGTGGGAGTGCAGACTGGTTCAACCACTGTGGAAATCAGTATGGAGATACCTCAAAGAACTAGGACTGGAAGTCCCATTTGACCCCGCTATTCCACTGCTGGGGATCTTCCCCAAAGAATTAAAAGAATCATACCACAGCGATATATGTGCGCCCATGTTCATAGCAGCACAGTTTGTGATAGCTAAAACTTGGAAACAGCCCAAATGCCCATCAACTGGAGACTGGATAAAGAAAATGTGGTTTTTTTTATAAAATGGAGTACTACTCAGCCATAAAAAATGAGAAATTAGAGACATTTATAGCTAAATGGATGCACATTGAGGCGATACTCTTAAGTGAAATAAATAGGACACACATGTGTAAATACCGAATAGTTTTTCTGGTGTGAGAAACTGAAAGTGTAAATAAGGACTAAAATGTATAATAGGTAATGTGAAATAGGAAGAAAAGGGGCAAAGGGTAAGGAAGTGGGAGGGCTAGGGGAAAGGATAGAAGGGAATGGGACTAATATGAGAAAATGGAAAAATAGGAACAAAATCTTTGTAAATAGGGAGGACTGGAGGGCTTGAAGGGAGGGCAGGGGAATGGGGAAAAATAAGAACCAAGAGAGATTATGTAAAGGTGCAAATTTCCAATGATGAATGTCATTATATTGTATACCTAAAATGTACCAATGATTAGAATGAATAATCGATAATGCAAAGTAGGAAGAAAAGGTCCAAAGGGATGGGGTAGTGGGAGGGGCAGGGGAAAGGAAAGAAGGGAAAAGAAAAATGATGAGAAAAGAATAGCCAGACCCAATATCCTGCTCAATTGTCACCCACCGAGGAAGCCCCAGGTTTCTTAGAGGAACTAGGTGGAGACAGCACTTGGAAGGTACTTTCCGAGGCTGCTGTGCCAGCAGTGGATCACAGTTCCTAAGATCTACACCTGAGGAACTAGGTCCAGCAATGCTACAGCTGGCTCCATTAAATTTCTAAACCTCACTTAACTCATCTAGAAAGTGGGGGAAATAGAGTATCCCCCTTAGAGGATTATGAGAATTCAATGAGAAAATGTATGGAAAGAGCTTAGCCTTAGGAGATGGCCCTAAATATAATACTGTCTGCCAGACCCTCAGCTCTGTGAGGACCGCTATTGGATCTGCCGTATTCCTGGTCATTGACAGAATGTAAATTTAAAATCCTTGTTGACTCAGTGAATCAATAACTATTGTGTAGCAAGGCACGTGCTAGGTTACTGTCTTGGATACAGAGAAGAGAACTCTAAAACCCAGAAGCTTGTATTAGGGGACACAAGACCTTTATACTTGAAAAATCAAAGTGACACCAACCAAGTCATGGAAGCAGTAAGGAGTTAAGCCTGAGTTGGCTATGAAAGATATGCCAGGCAAGAAATAAAGCATTCAATGAAGACTGTAAAAGAAGACCAAGCCAATTCATACCACCCCCTCCCAGCATGCAGGTGTTCCTAACCTGGAATCTTTCTCCATACTGGAAAAAGGCTGTTCTGCAGTTGTTCATAATTATAAAAAAGTTCTTGTCCCAGTATAAAGATCAGGAGATTACTGAGTCCATTTAAGCAAACGTGTGCATTAAAACAAGTTTTAAAAAATGGAAAATAGAGTTTACCTATCCTAGGATTGAGCACTTCCCCAAAGTGGATCCCATTAAAATCTTCACTGTAGTCACTTTATCATGTGGGACAATCTCGGAAAGTATGGAAGTATGACAAATGCTGTTAGGGCCATTATTCACTATTGCAGGACAGATTTTTATATTTTTTTATTTTTTGGCTTTAGTTCTGATAGACAAGATCATTAACACTCAGTCCTAGAATAATATCTTTGTTTTCAGAAATATATTTGCAACCCTGATTTATTCACACTTGTGCCTTTACACATTTCAGGTCTGCAGGTTCGAGTGCTGCCACTGGCAGTAACCGAAGACTTCAGCAGACACAAAATCAAGTAGATGAGGTATTGCTCTAAGACTCTAAAACGTGAATTTTAAATAAACATGGGTGCACTCCGGAGATAATTCTGGTTTAGAAAAAGTATCATAAGTGTGTGAATGCAAATTTTGACAGTATCATAAAAGTAATAAAATCTGCCCCCTTCTGTTTTTAAAAACCCTGATCTAAGCAAAAGTCAGACTCCCCTGGTTTCATGCTTCTTTTTCTGCAGGGCAATTACATACCTAAAACACAAACACACAGAAACATTCCCCAAGAACCACTTTGTAAAATAGGATAATAAAGTTTTAAGGGTTAGGGCTAAAGATTGTTCAAGCCAGAAATGAGTCCTTCCAATGAGACATTTTTCCCAGAATGCCTTGTCCTGCGGCCTGACTGACCAGTCACTGACCTGAGCAACTCTGTAGGAAACATTCATCTCCAAGGTCGCCAAGGGACACACAGGCAGATGCTGACAAACTGTTCTATCCCAGCAAATCTATCCGTAGAATTCTTGACTTTCACAACATCTTTTGTTCTGCCCTGTATATGCAAAACTAAAAGCAAAGATTGTGTGAGAAATTGGGACTAGTATTTCCCTATTCCTAAAAACAGTCACTGTCTGCATTTAGCTACACTAAAAAAGTAGAGTTAAAAGGTAGATACCATTGTTAAATCCTAGTAATGCTTTGATTGGGTATTTTGTTTATGAACTTAATTATCACAATTTTAGATTTTCACATTGAAAGCCATTTAAATCTTGCTTGAAACTTGTCCTGCTTGAAACCTGTTTACTTACAAAATCATATCCAATCTTTTTTTATCCAAAGGAATTTCAAAGACTTGTTTTCTTTTTTCTTTTATGGAGGTAAAATACAGTTAACCAGTCTAAAGTGTAGTTTGGTGGTATTTAGTAGATTCACTTACTGTGCAGCCATTACCTCAGTTTTCAGAACTCTTTCATTACTCCTGAAAAGCACCCGTACCCATTTAGTAACCATTGCCCATTCCCCCTTCTCACGTTGTCCAGTCAGCTCTGATCTGCTCTCTGTTTCGGTGAATTTGCCTGTTCTGTGTATAGTGTAAAAAAGAACCGTACCATATGTGGCCTTTAGTGTCAGGCTTCTGTCACTTAACGTGATGTTTTCAACACACATCCAAGTTGTAGCATGTTTTAGTACCTTGTTCTTTTTCATAGGTATATGATAATGGATAATTTCTGCTCTTTCCACCTCTCAGCTGTTTTGAATAATCCTGCTATCAACATTCAAGAACAAGATTTTAAGCCATGTTTTCATTTCTCTTGAGTCTGTATACTTAGGGGTATTTCTGGGTCATCAGTAGTTGTATGGCTTGGATAGTTCTGTGTTAGCTTTTTGAGGAGCAGCCAAACTGTTTTCTACAGTGGCTGCCCCATTTTATATTCCCACCAGCAAGGTATAAAGCTTCCTGCTTCTTTACACCTCTTCAACATTTGTTTTCTAGGTTTTGGATTATAGCCATTGAGTGAGCATGAAGTCATATCTCATTTTGGCTTTTTGATTGCATTAGTGAAGTGATTAGTGATAATGAACAACTTTCCATGTGCTAACTGTCCATTTGTATATCTTTGTTGAAAGCCTTTCCCCATATTTTAGCCAGGTCGTCTTTGTGTTGCTACTTATAAGAATTCTTTGTGTATTCTGGATAGCAAGCCTTTATCGTATATGTGATTTGCAGATACTTGCTTTCATTCTGTGGATTCCTTCCTTCCTTTTGCAGTACTGGGGACCGAACCCAGGGCCTTCACATTGAATTACATTCCCAGCCCTTTTTTATTTTGAGTTAGGGTCTTGGTAAGTTGATAAATTGCCCAGGCTGGACTCAAACTGGCCATCCTCCTGCTTCAGCCTTCCAGAGGGCTGGGATTATAGGCATGCACCACCCCTCCCAGCTGGAACATTCCTACTAATATACTTTGATGCAAAATTTAAAAAAAAATTTTTTTTTTGGTACTGGGGATTGATCAGGACCTTGCACTTGTGAGGCAGGCGGTGGAACCACTGAGCTAAATTCCCGGCCCTAAAAATTTTTATGAAACCAACTTGTATAATTTTAGTTGTTATTATCAGCAGTTTTTTTAGTTGTTATTGTCAGGGTGGTTTTTTTCCCCCTTTTGCTTTTGGTATTAATCAAATCTAAGAATCCAGGGCCATATCTGAAGTTCTGAAGATTTACTTTTATTACCTCTTAAGAGTTTTATAGTTCCATTTTTTTAATTTATATTTTTTGAGTTTAATTAGTTTTAAACTTATGGCTTAAACTTAAGCCATAGATCCTTTTTCAGTTAATTTTTGTCTATGAGGTGAGGTAGGAGTCATTCTTTTGAATGTGGCTGTCTTGTCCCAGCAAGATTTGTTGAAAAGACTGACCCTTTCCTCCATTGTATGGTCTTGACACCCTGTCAGAAATCATTTGGGTCTGTGGGTTGAAGTGTAGCTCAGTGGTAGAGTGCTTGCTGTTGAGCAAGCACAAGGCCTTGAGTTCTTTCCCAGCACCACCAAAACAAAAACCAGCCATAGACGTTTGAGTTGATTCTGTACTTTCAGTTCTGTTCCATTGGTCTTTACTTCTGTCCTTGTGCCACTACCAGTTTTGATTACTGTAGCTTTGTAGTAAGTTTTGAAATTGAGATGTGTGAGTCTTGCAGCTTTTTTTTTCTTTCAGTATGTTTTACCTTTTTGAGGTTCCCTGTGGTTACATATGAAAAAACCACTGGATTTGGGGTCACATTTGGAGATTTCTGAGTGTGAAGGAAAAACCACTGGGATCGTTGACTCTGCATGGCCGTCTTCGCAGGGCTAAGTCTCCCAGTGTACAGCACAAGATTTTTTTCCATTTTTATCTAGGTTTTCTTTCAGCAGTGTCTTGTGTTTTTCCTTCTGCAAGTCTTTTACCTCCTTGGTTAAATATATTCCTAAGTATTTTTATTCTTATGGATGGTGTTGTAAAAACAGTTGTTTTCTTAATAATCTTTTCAGATTGTTTATTGCTGGTATACAGAAATGGAACTCATTTGTGTAACCTCAGAGCCTAAAACTTTCCTGAGTTATTAACTCTAATGGTTTTTTCTTTTTGTGGATTCTTTGAGATCCAGAAGATATGGATATGGATATAGATATAAATATAGAATGCCCTGCAGATAGGAGTTTTAGTCGTTTCCAGTTTGGATGCCCTTTTCTTTTTCTTGATTAATTGATTGCTCTGGCCAGGGCTTGAGTACCATGTTGAGCAGCAGTAGTGAAAGTGGGCATCCCTGTCTTGTTTCTGGTCTTAAGGGGAAGCTGTTGATCTCTGTTCACATTGAGTATGGTACTAGTTGTGGATTTTCCCATAAATGCCTGCGCTCATATTGAGGATGTTGCCTTCTATCCTTAGTTTGTTGAGTGGTTTTATCATGAAAGGGTAGGTCCATTTTGTAAAAAATGTAAGTAATAAAGTCCAGACTTGAAACAAAATACACCAGAGGTTTCACTTGGACTTGTGGTTCTTCCATTCCTGTATGTGTAAGCTGACATGACCACATTCGTCTAGGTGGTGGACATAATGAGAGTCAACGTGGATAAGGTGTTAGAAAGAGACCAGAAGCTCTCTGAGTTAGATGACCGTGCTGACGCGCTGCAAGCAGGAGCTTCTCAGTTTGAAACAAGTGCTGCCAAGTTGAAGAGGAAATACTGGTGGAAGAACTGCAAGGTAATTCTCTCTTCACCGACCTTGACATGAAGTCCCCCTTCCCATTCTCAGAGGCTTGGCAGAAAGTACAAATACTGGACTTCGGTGAATCTGGAAGGTGGGTTTTTTAACTTCCCACATGCAGACATTTGTGTGAGCTGTGAATCTCACACACAGACTGCATCCCTTCCACCCACCACTAGGGTTCCTCATGTTCTGTGGCTGATCTCAAGAGGCATAGAACAGGAATGCCCCAAACCCATCAGGCAGGACCTCTTGGTCAGTGTGCAGGTGGTTCTGGGAGTAGCTCCAGCGCCACGGGAAAGAGACCGGAAAGTCACCTTGTGCTCAGCAGGAGAAAGTGGCCACAGGCAGAACATAGTCTACTGCAGGTTTCATGTGGTTAGCAAATAAATATGCTCAAATCAGACCGTAATATGTCCTGCCTCTTCCTTGTTCAGAAGTGACACTGAGACGCTTAGTTGCCCCTCCTTGTGTGGAAAATTTATACATGTGAACAGATGCCTTTCTAGGGCCACAGATCATTGGCACACATTCTGAAAAGCAGTTAAGTAAACTTTAGTCCCTAATTAAGACCATCAAATACAGGGTTAGGAATGATGAGTTGTTCCAGATTGTAGCACACCTTGATTGCTGGAATAATATTATAGGACCCTCTTCAGTAAGTGTGTTATGTCTTCTTAGGAAGTGTGAAAAGGGTGTGTGTTTTCTTACAGATGTGGGCCATAGGGATTACCGTTCTGGTGATCTTCATCATCATCATCATCGGTGAGTTACTTCCTGTGTTTACAGATGACTGCCTACTATACAAGAATACAGAGTACAAAGCTCCCTCAGAATCACAGCTCATTCCCAGGCTTTCAAAGAATTTGCATTAGCAAATCTTTGAAGTACTTGAATTTTGTATGATTAAAGTCCGAGATTTTTTTACATGAACATTAATTCTTTGAGGCTGAGGAATGTGATTGTTCCTGATGGCCCAGTTTTCCTCTCTGAATATACTGATGTTATATATTTCCTTTTATGTAGTACCTGTGATTTAGCCCTGCTCCAGCCCCATCCAGCTCTGTGGCTTGGGCAAGCAATCTAAAATCTCTTGACCTCAGTTTCCTTATTTGTAAAATGGGGATAATAATGGCACCTACCTTGTTTGTTATGAGGACAAGTCTGGTTAATACATAAAAATGCTTAGTATGTATGGTATCTGGCATGTACGGTAATAACAGAAAGTTATATAGATGACCACATTATATATGTGTAACGCACATATATATGAATATACTCACACCTTTACTATCATTATATGTAATACTGGAAGAACCCATTGCCTTTTTAGCCCAGATATGGGCACTCCTTCCTTTCAGTGCTAGGTCGATGTCAGTGGATGCTGCTGTTTAGAGTTACTTTGATGCTTTTGACTGTAGGCTCCTCTAGCCTTACGCAGCACTGGTGGGAAATGGGTCAGATCAAGTCCTATTCACATTTAGATTGACTGCAGCTTCCACTCCGGTGTGCACTAAAAGACTAACCCACCCTTTTTGCTGTCTCTGCCTCTCCATCCCCTGCTTAGTGTGGAGCATCTCTTCTTGAAGAACCAGTGAAACTCAAGCCTTGCTGTTCAGGAAACCTTCAAGACCTTTGACTTTGAACCTGCTATATTATCAAGCTTACCTACTGTTATTTCTAAGCTGATTTTTTTTTCTAGTTCATGTAAAGTTCACTTTCTAGGAAATGTGCCTTTGTTTTTTAATATGCACTTCAAACTAGACGTGTGGGCAGCCCTGCCCACATTTTGCACAGGGCCTTTACAGATTTACATATGGGCTGATACAGAGACTTCCCACACTCCAGAGTGCTGTGCTGTAGGCACGGTATTGTCACTAATGAATCACTGTTGATTCCAGCTAAGTTAGCCGTCCTGGGCTTCTGACATTTCCTGCAGCTCCACATTTTAAACCCTTGAGTTATGAGATTTCCACGTTGTGCCTTCCAGAACACGATTGCCTAACACACATCTGTAACAATAACAGGCTAGGCCTTGCCTTGATACTTCCCTGGTTCCCTGTAAGAGATGTGACCCTTTTTATAAGCACTACTGACTGTCATATTTAAATTGAGATGCTGGTGAAGAGTTTTTGGTCTTACATTAGATATGAATATGTTTACTTTCTTGTTATTGTTATGTATCACTTCCTAAAATTTTATCTTAATCAGAAGTAATAACCCTTTTAAAAAGTTTTTATAGAACTATGCCCGGACCAAAGTTTCTATTTTGCCAAAATGTTAAAATATGAATAAAATGTCCTTATGTCTGTCTCTGACAGATGAATTCAGAAAATCGCCAAATGGGACTCGAAAGAGCCTGTCAAAAGGAAAGTGGTAATAGTGTGTGTGAACCTCCTGCATACTGCAGGCGATGTGGCCCCTCCTAATGCAGCAGTTTTCACAGGCAGAGGTTTGAGCCAGACTCCTGCCGCCTCATACTTGTAGACAAAGGGCTTCCCCACCAGACTGCAGGCCAGCAGCTGTGGCCCTCAATTAAGACAGTCTGTGACCAGCCTCACAGGTGACAGCCCTTTGAGATTTGTTTCCTGTTTTATTCATACTGCGCTTCCTAAATCTTCTGCACTGCCTGGATGAGGCATTGGTCAGGGTGGGTGACTCTTCAGAGGACAGCTAACTAGAGATTTCTTTCTTCTGCCTCACACTGCACAGGTGCTTGCTTTGGAAATAGCGATTGTCACCTGAGATGGATTGTGTACATGAGACTTAACATCGGGCTACGTGGCCCAAAAGTGGGAGTTCAGGTATGGGTGAAATCAGGCAAGGGGATACAGGGGAGAAACACAGGCTTTACACTCGGTGGCCACTTTTTCCAGAATGTTCTAGGTGTTGTTCACATGGTAGTGTGACTTCTGAAGCGCAACAGCTGAGGTGTGCCAGGACACACTCCATGTCTCTACCTTGTGTTCCCCTGGCATCACAGAAATGATCTGATGCCGAAGACGCGCCTTGCAATATCCAAAGCTGTGAAGCAGCAGCTGTCAGCATCAGGATGTAGGCCCAGGGTCTCTGGCCATGTCTGACTGAAACCTTGGTGCTCTCTCCTTGCTCCATACTCAGTCCCATGTAACCCACTGGCTCCTGCATTAACCCAAGAATACCTCGCTTGTGTCTGCATTCAGCTGGCAACTTGCCTGCTATGATGACCTGAATAAAATGTTGATAAACATGATTCTGGCCCCTGTGTTCCTTGGGGAGGGATGGTTTCACCTGGTCCATGTCCTGAAGGGAGCCTTCGTTGCTCCTCCTCCCACTCCCTTACAAACTTCACCTTCCTTCTTCCTGACCCACCCCTCCTGGGTTTCCTCCTGGCGCCGCCCTTCGAGATGTGCTCTTCACCATGTAAGTGAGTGAGGGCCGGGTTTCTCACAGTTGCCGAGATGGTTGGAGTTTGAAACGTCTTTTGGAAGTGACATGTCAGCCGGGCTCGTATTTGGTAAACTAGATAGCCGACCTGCCACGCTAACCTGCGGTGGCTGTGGGACATCTCCAGACGTGGTTCTCGTTCCACCCTGTGTATCTTTCCTTCCCTTGCATATACTTCCTCTTCTATCCTCTGACCCCTCAGAAACGTTGTAATCTGGGAGAAGCAGACTTTTGCTTATTATTTATAATAGAAAAATCTAAGTACCAAATACTGTTGTGTTTCTTCCCCCGGTACCGTGGATTGGACCCAGGACTTTGCGCTTGTGAGACAGGCATGGTGCCACTGAGCTAAATCCCCGGCCCCCAAATTCTGTTCTTAACCACAACCTTACCTTGATCTGGCTGCTTCTAACTTGCCTCACTTTACATCACAGTCTGAGCTACAGGCGCAGCTGCCTTTCAGATTATCAGCGACAGGTTGCAACACCTATGTTAGCTGACCTGCTCTGCCGGGCCACTTCCTGCCCCAAAGCCGAGCCTCTCGGTGCTGGGGTCTCAGGTCCCCTTCTGTGGGGCCTTCTGTCACTTGGCTGAGGTGGCCCCACCTCGCCTCCTTCACCCTCCACCTCTACCCCAGTAGCTTTATTTTCCACCCTGCGCCTTGAGTCGTTCTTAGCTTTAAGTCTCAGCGCTGGCTACCAGAAATGGCAGGGACTTTGTCGTTGTCTCCCAGGATGACAGTCATCCCTCCCACACTCGTACTCAGTATTTGCTGGATGAATGCAGTCTGAGGAGAAACCTTGGGCGAGCTATCACTCCCAGAAAGACCAATGGAGAACATCTCTTGGGAAAACCGATGGTTTATCCAGTGCAGTAAGGACAGCCGCCCACTTCCCTTTGCCTGGCGCCCTTAATATACAACTTTAATTCATCCGACAAACACTGTTCTCGATGTACCAGGCAGCAAGGGAGTCTCTCCCTGCGCCTTTCCATTCGGCTAAATTGAGAGGCCACGCAAAAGGCGCCTTCAGACCTTTTTGAAGGCCAGGGACGCGTTTAAGTCCCACCTTAAACTTCCCTTTCTGAAAATCGGGCTGCATTTTAGCCGGTCGGGTCCCTGTTCCTCCAAACCCACGTTTCACTTTGAGCAGGAGAGCGAGCAAGTTAAGGAAAAACGAAAGCAATGCAAATCCAGGAGCCAAAAACGCCGCGAGGTCCCAGAGAACCCCACGCGGCGCGTCACGACCCTGAGTGACCTGTGGACCGCGGCGCCGCTCGGCCTCTCACCCTCGCCCGCAGCTCACCTTCCAACCCGCTCCCACCCCCTCGTGACTGGCAGCTCCTGTGCCCTATCACTGCTGCCAGGCTGCGCCGGCCCCTCCCCCAGGGAGCCGAGCGCTCCGCTCGCGCGTCCCAAACCCTAGCTTTCCCGCCCGCCAGCCCTCCCCGGCCCTCGCTCCGGCCCGCCAGGATTGGCTGACGCCACCCTCCGCCCCACCCCCTGTGCGTTATATAATGGGCTCTGGGGCCTTCGTCTCAGCTCACCCGCTTGCGGTTACGTAAGCCTGACGCCCGACTGGGGCTCCGCTTCCGGGCCAATGAGAGCCCGCTTAGCCGTGCGAGGCGGCCAATCGCACGCCCGGGCACAGAGCCGGGTCCCGTGGCGCGCCCGGGGCACGCGGCGGGCCTCGAGACTGCGCGCGCGGCCTGACGCCCGAGGGCTCCTCCGGGCCGCGGGCGCTGGAGGCGGCGAGTGCTCGGCCTGGCGGGAGGCCTGCGAGCCCGAGAGGTCGGGCGCCCAACGCTGCCCTCAGCCCGGCGGCCCTCCATGCGCGGTGCACGCAGACGGACTGCGGGACCGACGAGGTCGGGGGAATTGGTCCGCCGTGAGGACCCTCCCTGGGGCCGCGCGGGGCCACGGCCAGCCCAGCTTCCGGCCTCGAGGGCGGGCTCGGTGGCCCCGATCGCCTTTGTGTTCCCCCCGCCCCGGGCTGGGCTCCCGGGAAAGGAGAGCCCCGAGAAGCTTCCGTGGACGTGCTGAGGAGAAAAGTGCCCCTGAGATGAACGTGGGCGGCAGTGGTCGGGATGGTCGTGACCGCCCCCGAAAGCCCTGGCAGGGACCAGAATGAGAAGGCAGTGACTGTCGCTGCCTGCACAGCGAGAGACGCAGGCAGCGGGCGTGGGGCGCCGCGCGAGATGGACCCTTGCGAGGACCGACACGCGCTCCAGGGGCCGTGGGGCTCCGGGGCCCCGCTGCACAGGACCGAGGGGGACACCAGCCGCAGGTGACGCCCGCTCCTGTCCGTGCCCAGGTGTTTGTTGTCCTGGCTGGCGCTGGAAGGAGAAAGCCGGGTGTAGGGCTGTTTACACTATTGTTATGGGGTGGGGGATTTAGGCTGGAATAATCGAGACGCCTTAAGAAAATTACCAGAGATCCTAAGAAGGTAAAAAGTGATGAAAGAATTTGTCTGAGTTGGGGCTCGAGTGGAAATGTTGGACAGCTTCAGATCTCTCTGCCTGAGGTTTTCTGCTTGTGAGAAAAGGGATCCTAAACCTGTGAGCTGAACCAGTTGATGCCATAGAAAATAATTCATTGCCAGGATAGCAGCTGCTGTTAGCATTTCTTTCTTTCTTTCTTTTTTTTTTTTAATCTTCCAGTGAACAAGATCGAAAGAGAGTTTCTGAAGAACTTAAAATGGTTGTCCAAGAAATGAAAAAATATCTGCCAGTGGAGAGACACAGTAAACCAAGCACCTTAGATGCCCTCAACTATGCCCTGCGCTGTGTGCACAGCGTGCAAGGTAAACGAGCTGCGAGAAAACTCGCACAGGTGCACCGCCACTCACCTTGGGGTTTAGTCGCAGGTGCAGTTTGAACTTCCTGTGCAAGATGAACAAATAGTAGTTTCTTTAGTGTCTCCAGGAGAACCTGACTTGTCTAACAGTTTAGTAACTATGGAGTAGTTTGCTAATCTGTTGCAAGAGACTGGACAGTTTAGCATGAGCACATTTTGAAGACTTTTAAAAGAACATTGTCTTCCTTGGAAGTTACAAGAGAAAATACATTTGACTAAAAATACATTTCCGTCATAAACACACTTTGAAAATGCAATCATATCATACGAAGAATTTACCACACTAAAGATGAACAGTGTTTTCCTTTTTTTCTCTGACTTCTGAAGGAATTTTATAAAGTTGTGTTCTACTCAGCACACACTTGTATGCTTCATCTATGATGTATAGTTCCTGAATGCTGGAATAAGATTTCCACCATAAAATGCATGCGTGCGTGCCTGTGTGTGTATCTGGAACTTTTGTCTCATTGACTTGTTTTAGTACATCAGATGTGTCTTATGCCTTGTGATGTAGAACGTGCAGCATTAATAAAACTTGTACTCTTCAGTTTCACAGCTATGTTAGGCGCCAGCAGAAAGTGAGCTGGATATGAGGAAAATGCACTTAGGGTGTCTGTATCCTAAGAAAATAAGCCAGCTTGGTAGTACTAAAAATGACCTCCTAAGATATTGTTGTCACAGGACTACCTATTTATTTCCCTGTGTTTCTTAGCAAACAGTGAATTTTTCCACATTCTCAGTGGAAATGGATTCCCCGAGATAGACATGACCATGTACGGCCCTGAGGAGCTGGCCACTGTTGCTGCCGAACACACTTCCAAGAACACAGTAAGGATTCTCAATCTTGCCGTCACAACACTTAGGACTTTTCCTAAGGACCTCCTCTGTTCTCTCATTGCAGATTCTTAAAAGATAATAACTGAGTGTTAGTAACCACAGTTTGAAGTAACTAAAAGAGAAGACTGCCAGAGAGGCATTGTGTGGTTTCTCTTGCCCTGGCCAGAGAAAATAAAACAGAAGCAGCACTCTGTGTACTGTGTAGTATTTCATTCGCTTTGATCGTCAGGTGCTTCTATCCCCTTAGCAACCCTTAGTTCTCTCAATTTAAGGACTAGAAACACCTGCAGGATAATTTCATACATCTTATTCTACTCTCCAAATTGTTAACTTCTGTTTACATGATTCTTAGTTCTGATACCTAAGTTGTAACAGGTGGATTTTATAGAAGAGGTGAGTTGAGATGTCATCTTTTGTGAGATTTTAGAAGAGACCTTTAGGGTATCTTTTTTTGAATCTCTTCTTATTGATAGAATAATTAAGCCTTTCCTCGCATTTTTTTGATATGGTGATTAGTTAGTTTTATGTTTAGATCTCAACGTAATTGTAATGGTGATTTTATGATATGCAACATAAGCTACATAATAGTATAATAGAACTTAGTAACTGGCATGTGCATGTACTGTAGTAGGTGCTATGAATTTTTTTTAAAGTGTGAGAAAACATTAAGGTCTTTAAAACTAGGAGGGAGGGGGAAAGGGTTGGAGAAGAGGACATAAAAAGAATGTATTACAAACCTGTGCCAGCTCTCCACCATGAATATAATTGTTGTGTCTTGCAAACCTGTACTGGTAAAACTAAAACTAGAGGAAAGCAGATGTCAACCTAGCAAGCATTGGCTGATTATAAATATATTTGTGTCTAATGAAACAAATCAGAGCAGTGAGTCTCACGCAGTGAGGTCTGTCAAGGACAGATTCTTGAAGAGTGTGCATCTTGAACTTAGTCTGAAAGCAGAGTCTGCGTGACTGACCAGAAGCATTTCTCCAGGTGTAAGGTGCTGTTTGCAAAGAAGAAGGAATCCAGAGTTTGTGTGCCATGTGTACATACATTTATTCTGTGTAAAGGGAGCTGCTATTTTTTTTTTTTTTTTTTTTTTGCTTAGACATCAAACCTCCAGAAAGTTCAGTGCAGGTTTTATGGTAATTTTTAAGAAGCACGCTGAAGGAAACTCTTTGGGGAGTTTTGTTGCCTTTCCAGGCAAATGTTTTAAGCTGGTGGTAATGATAGAAATCTGTCAGGCCTAGTGCTAATAAGCAGCTCAATATTTGCATTTGTTTTAAATGTTTTTCACAGGATACCTTTGTGGCGGTGTTTTCATTTCTATCCGGAAGGTTGGTGCACATTTCTGAACAGTCCGCTTTGATCCTGAAATGCAAGAAAGATTTCTTGGAGTCTTCTCACTTTGTTGACCTGCTTGCCCCTCAAGACGTGAGGGTGTTCTACATGCATACTGCCCGAGCTCAGCTTCCTCTCTGGAACAGCTGGACCTGAAGAGGTAATGGACTGATGCCTGGGTATGTGTCATGCTGCAAGATCAGCTTCATTCTAACCGAAATAGTACAGAAATTAATGCGTTATTTAGAATGTGCAAGTTATTTAAGAGCATGTGATAAAATAGCATTTTAAATATTTCTAACAACAAATACTCAATACATTTGTTTTCATTTAGTGAATTTCATAGATTATACGTCATACATACAATTTGATGACCAGCATAATGTGTAGCAGTTTGGTTGCTATGAAGGCTCTGTTTCCTTTAAGCTAATAAAATTAAATGTTTCTCTTCGTATAGAGACTTTATAATTTTTTGTACAGTTTTAGAGATAAAATTCTGATAGTTGGCTCCCCTTTCCAATTTTATTTTCTCAAAAGTTCATGAATGTCATTACTTTGGGGTTTTGTTTTTCTAAAATGCTTATTTACCTGAACTGAGGATGTGGATTCAATTTTCTTTGTGACATTGAGTTATTCTTTTCAGAGTTGCCCTTTCTAACTTATTTTATGTTCTTAGTGACGTGTCTTTTAAGGGGCTTAGTATATATCAGTCTTCTCCTTGATTCCGAGTCCTTCTCTTTTTTACATTCATTTATTTTTTGTGGTAAAAACGTGTAACATAAAATTTGCCATATTAAAGAGTGCAGATCAGTGGTGTGAAGTATGTTTACATTGTTGTGAAACAGATGACCAGGACTTTTTCATATCTGCCAACTCAGTATAGACCTTTTCTGATTTTTTTTAATCCAATCGTTGGCCTTGTGAAGTCTTTCATCTTTCTTTTTTCCATTTATACACCTTCGTGCCATCGTATTTCAATATTTTTATGTAACCTCTAGAAAACATGCCTAACTTTCTTGCCTTCTTCTGGCTCCATCTTCTCTCCTCTTCCATCTTTCAAAATTACATTTTTCTTCCTCTTCCCTGAGAACACTTTTTCATCTTTTAATCATCCCTGTTTGCTTCTCTGCTTTTTTTAGTCACTCATTTCTTGAGCCTTTATGTAGCCATCACCATGGTCTAGGAACTACTCTAAGTACTAGGATACAGCTAAGAACAGCACAGATACATTAGCTTGTGTGCCAGCTCTTTCACATTTTTCCTTCAGCATTAGCTGTGTAGCTCCATTGTACCTTTTCAGCTTTGCTGATCACTGATTGCTCTGATATTCTTCTTCCACACAAAAGCTTAGTATGTCCTGAAATCCTTGTCTTTTGAATGTCAGAATTTACTTATACCATAAATATCTGATGTGCATCTAGTTTACACCTAACATTGTCTTTCTGCCATATAAATCTCAAGGTTCCATTCTTACGGGAGCACTCGGCCAGCCACTCCCCATGGTCCCTCCCTCAGCCCCTTCCTTTGAGCTCAGAGAACATATGAGGACCAGAAGCTTTCTTTTTAGCTGTTGCCAGACGTTGGTCCTGCATTATTAGAACACGTTTCTGCTTAAGGCCAGCTGTATAAACACCTTAAAAGGATCTGGCTGCTTTTTCTTCAGCATATACTTCCAGAAACAATAATTCACACCTTTACAGCCTGAGTGTTAAGTGCCTCATAGGATCACACGGTCTGGAGCTGGGGAAGCAGTTGCAACTGGGTGCCTGGTGCGATGTGTAAACCTCGAGAGCAATTTTCACATTACAGTAGAGACCATTTTTCTGATTCTCCCTCTGATTGTTTCCTTAGAAGCGTGAAGACCTGGCCTTATCAGTATTTTGGTTCTATAGAATTCACACTGTTGATGTTCCTTTCAGTTTGTATTTACCAGACTTCTGACAGTTTTCAGTGGTTCCTGTAACAGTTGTTTTCATTCCACTGTACAGATGCCCCAAAAATGTATATTCAGGGAGCCCAACCAGAGGAAATACAAACACTGGTCCTTCATTTGACCCTAAGATAGGGAAATTTATTTTTAAATTGCCATGTAGTAAATTAGTAAAGTTGATATAAACCATTGACATGAGGGTTGTTGTGCAAAAATATTGAGAGAAAACATGGTTAGTGATGCTAAATTAGTACAGTCTTTTTGGAGTTTAGCAATACGTGATGAGAGTTGTAAAGTGATCGTATCATTTAACCCAAAATTCAACATTTAGAAATTTATCCAAGGAAAGAATTTAAAGTGAAGGGAAAAAAAATCAGAAATTCATGCATCATAGAGTTAACACCTGGAAATAGTCTAAATTTCCAATTCTTCGGAAATGTGCAGACTCATTACAGTGGAATAGGGTGAATATGTCAAAGGATGATTATAGCAACCTTTGAAATAGTGAGTGTGGTCAGCTAAGGGTGCCAGGGAAGAACACAGAGGTCCTAAGGGAAATGTGCAAGTCCAGCGCTGTTTTGCCTAAGGGCTGTAGGACAGTGAGAAGCCCTCAGAATAGGGGATGGGATCCTACTGCAATCAGTGACTCTTAAGATGTAAGCTGTTTTTAGCTTGGTAGTAGTGCGAGATTGCCTTGCTGAGGAACAGCTGTCCTGGGAAGAGAGAGTGAGATTTTTTCTCTTTTCTAGAATCACAGTATGAATGTGCTGCAGTGAAATCCTTTTTCTGCAGGATCCAGTAAGTACAGGACCTTGGGGACTCAGAAATGTGCATTAAGCTGTGGCTTTTATTTAGCACTTCCTGTGGTTCTTTCGTATTCAGCTAGATTTTCTTATGGATTGAAAAAAAAAGACTGGGTTCTTGCCACAAGGAATTTTCACTTGAATTGAGAAGAAACATGAGAAGACAAGATAATAATGGGATAGGAAAAGAGTTGGAAAGAGAATTCTTGATCCTAGTGGCATATAAAAATCACAAGAATCACTGGATGTGAAATACACTTTTAAATGACCATATTTTTTCTTCACTTGACCACCTTTCAATTTTTGGTTTTTAAATAACTTTTAAAAAAGCAAAATATTTATATTTATTGAAGGGCTTTAAAGATCCAGAGACAATGAATTAGAATGACTGTAACAGGTGTTGATTTCTTACAGGATTTACACCAATCATCTTTTCCATCTTCTAAATTTACTGCACTATGGTAATATTTGCACAATAAAAAGAAAAAATATTTAAATGACATTATGATTGCTAATATGGCATTGAAGATACTAAGTGCTCTAAGAACTGGATTTAGATACGAGAAAAATGTTATGGTAGCCAAGTCAGACACCTCGAGGAATTAGGAGGCCTCAGCTAGTAGTGTTTGGACACCAAGCAAGAGGTCACCTCAGGAAGGGCAAGCGGGGGAAGTCCCTCAGGTCATTCATAAGTGCGCCGTTTATGGAGCCCTCAGAACAAGGCCCACCCTGCAGGAAGTGCTCTGTGTGTTGTAGTAATAAATGTTTTCAGATCCTGTTCCTGAGTCAGACATTATTATAGTACTGGGACCAAAACACAGTTCTTGCTTTCATTTGTGCTTAATTTCTGAAAGGAAGAGACCAGTAACATGGAAGTACATGTGTCTGCTGGTGACAAGGTCTGTGTAGACAGGGAAGCAGAGGAAGAGACTTCTGGGCTGTGGGGGAGATTGCTGTTGAGTTCTGGGCTATTTCAGCCTTTTGTGTTGCTATAACAGAATCCGTGAGACTGGGTGATTTTTAAAGGAGAGAGGTATATTTTGAGTTTGTTGTTGTGGTGGGGTTTTTTGCTTTTTGTCTGTCTGTCTGTTTGAGACAGGGTCTCGCTATGTAGTTCAGACTGGCCTTGAACTCATGGTGATCCTCCTGCCTCAGCCTTCCAAGTGCTGGAATGCACCACCCCGCCCGGCCCGGGAGGTATAAAATATACCTCATGGTTCTGGAAGACCAAGAGCATGGTGCCAGCATTTGCTAGGCTTCTGTGAAGGGCCTTATTACAGAAGGCAATGTGGTGTGTGCAGGGGAGCCAGACACTTTATAAGAACCAGCTGTCAGCAGGATGCCTGTCAGGCAGCTTCCTAATCCGTTCGTGAGGGTGGTGCCCCCGGGCCCAGGCCTCAAAGGCCCACAGCCCCTCAGTACAGTGGCTCTGGCAATTGAATCTCCGCATGCATTTTGGTGCATCTAAGTCACAGCGAGAGATGTGGGAACTCTTCTCTCAAGAAGGCTGATTGTAGCCAGACCTGAAAGAGATGAGGGAGTGAGCCACACAAGGGCCGGAAGGCTGGGAAGTGTCGAGGAAGTGTGCACTGGGCAGAGGAAACCACAAGTGCAAAGGCCCTGGGGTAGGACACCAGTCCTGTGGGAAGAGTGAGAAGGAATCCAGTGTGGCTGGAGTGAGGAGAGAGGTGAGGATAGAGGATAAAGATACAGGGACCGAACAAGAGGAAGCTGTGCCTGCTGAATGAACTACTCAAAACTTTCTTCCTTGAGAATTTTCTAGCATAACACAAAAATAGACAAAATTGTGTGAGAAACCAGTGCATTCTAACCACTCTGTGTCAGTAACCTGTGCCAGTCTGGTGCCAGCTCTACTACCAGCAGTTCCTCCACTCCCTTCCCAAGTTCCATGGAGCAAATCTCGTGTGCCCATCACTTCCTCATTGATCTCAGAATGAGCTTCTAAAAGATAAAGTTCCCATTCATTTCCATCCACTCACAGGGCCCATCTTTGGCCAACAGGAGTCCCGTTAGGGTGGCTGTGATGCCCTTGTAAGAGTCTCCTGTGGTCTTCGGTGACCTCCCTTGTGTCAGGTGTGAGATGCCCCAGACAGGCATTTCTCTAGGAATCCCTCTTTCCTAGTCACCGGAAAAGGCATTAGTATTCAGAGGCCAAATATGCACAGTAGGAGTGGTTGATGCTATAGCAGTGATGTCACTGCTTCTAGGAAGCGTCAGTGGACAGACCGAGGCAGTTTGACTTTTCACACTGGAAGCAGAATGCATTATAAAGGGTTGGTCACGTTGCCTGCTGTGTTGGAAGATTCTATGGGGCAGCAGAGGCCAGAGAGGGCCCTGAAGGCCAGGTGAAGAGATACCCGGGCCAGCTCGGCAGTAGTGCAGGAGAAATGTTAGGATATTCTGAATTTATTGGTGGATTTGATGCAGGGTGGGAAGTAAAAGAACAGCCAGAGATGACACTAGAGTTTGGGCTGAGCTCTATATTGAGACAGATGAAGTTATAAGAAAAGCTTTTGGAGAGAGGCAGGGAGAATATATTTGAAGAGAAGCTTGAGATCTAAGTTGAGACTCTGCAGAAGAGTCTAATTCAAGGGAGACTCCAGGCCAGAGATAGATATTTAAGTTAGTAGCGCATAAATGGATTTAGGATCCTTGGACTGGACAAGCCTGGAAAATTCTTCTCAGAAAGAGCGGGAAGCCAGGAAGCATAGGTGTGAATGCTTGTAGGCAGGGTGGGAAGAAGCTGGGGGTGGGGGTGAAGGAGGAAGCAAAGCCATAGAAGTGGAGCAGTGGGAAGGAGGGGTGACAGCAAGATGGGGGCCAGCAGGCGCGAGCTTCCCTGGCAGTGCCGAGACCTCCTTGCGACTCATGGGCCCAAGTCCTTGATGGCAGGAGCACAGGGACATGATGCGTAGGAAGAGAGGAGCAGGAACTCAGTTTTGAACGTTTGAACTCCAGGAGATAATTGGAGGTACTGAAATTTTAAACTCCCGTGGAACACAAGCATGTTTAAACATGTTGGATCTGGATGTCTGTGTGGGAATTGCCAGTGAAATATCTCCCAGCCTGTCACACAGCATGCGGGCGAGGTGCCTGAGGACCAGCACTGATCATCTCTGCTCTCTTCAGCAGAGGTGGAGGCAGAGAGCAAGAGAAGCATTACTCCCCGTTTCGGATCATCCCCTATTTGGTCCATGCACACAGCTCTGCCCACCCAGAACCGGAACCTTGCTGTCTAGCGCTGGTTGAAAAGACTCACTCTGGTTATGAAGGTAAGTTAGGAGGACCTGCATTGCGATGAAACCCCAAAACCAGCAGTCACACAGGGATACGAGGCCTGTTGGCTACAGTCCAAGAACAGAAAGCTTGTTTGAGCTTCCAGGATGGCTCCTGACCTCTGTAAACATTTATAGCTCAGAGAAAAACTGACCTACCTACCATCTTTTTTACACAGCTGAGGAGGTCTGTGTATTACTAAGTAACATTTCAAATCCTTCTGTTTGTGTAGTTAGGTGTGGCCACTAAGTAACATTAAATCTGTTACTTACTCTTGTTTTAACTATTCAAATTTTTGTGATGAGGAAACTAGTTATTCAGTGTACACAGACTTTCTCTCTGCATGGAATTAACTTTAGTAGGCATCGCATTTTGACTTGATTAAAATGTAGTTAATGAAAATTATTGTCATTGAGTGTTGCTTTGGCTGCTTGAAGACCTGGCCCCAAAATGAGATTTCTAGCATTTTCATACAGATTTTATTCCTTTTTAAATATGTTAAGTGCATGATTAATTATATATTTGCCTTTACATGAGTCTTTCTGTTTTTCTGGGGTTTTTTAAAGGCTCCTCAAATACCAGTGGATAAAAGAATTTTTACCACAACACATATCCCAGGATGTGTTTTTCTTGAAGTAGATGAAAGGTAAATATTTCCTTTAGCCTAAATGAAATTTGCTTCTGAAAATACATAAAAATATGAAGAGAATTTACATTATGTATGCACACTTTTCTGCATGATATAATGAAGCATATCCATTTGCCTGTTTGATCCTTGTTAATTACATTGGAATTAGTGTTGTCTAAATTTCTGTTACAAATATCTTGTGTGTCATATTTCTAAAAATTTATAGGATACTTTATTACATTTTACAACACTGCTTTAGGTAGGTTGGGTAGTATTGCTCCCATTTTATAAAAGAGGAGCCCAGGGGCCAGTTTGCTAAAAACATACGTAGTATATCTGATTGTACTCAGACTGGGGTAATTTTCTCTGAACAAGTGGTCCTCACATCAATTTAAGATGAAATTTTAATTAGAGTAGAGAGAGTCGAGGATTTCGCTCAGTGGTGTCATGCCTGCCTTTCAAGCACAGGGTCCTGAGTTCAATCCTCGGTACCACCCCCCCCCAAAAAAAAGTGGAAATAAAAGAACAGAAGGTATGCTCGTTTTGGATGGTTTTTTGGTAGTTAAGTTTATTTGAAAATGTTTTATTTTTAATATATTGGGGCTGGGGATTTAGCTCAGTGCTGCCACACCTGCTGTGCAAGCTCAAGGCCCTAAGTTTGATCCCTGGTGGGGGGGCAGGTCTGTGTAAGTATTTTGAATGTCATTCCTCCTTTTTTTGAGGGGGCTGTTAAAATAGTTTTTGTTATTCAAAGGATCGTGATGGTAGAGAGCAGCTATTGCTTACTACTGGTTTTTAGTATATTTGGAAAAAGTAAACTTCAGCATCACATCAGTATCTGCCTTTTTCTACCCACATTTATTTTAAAATTTCACTTATTCATGAAATTTGAATATCTGGGAACCAATACACTGTGCCACACATAAGTGTAAAGTAGAAATGTCAAAAACTTGGTCACAACTATAATAGCTATTAATTTTGACTTTAAAAGGTTTTAACATAGCAAAATGGGTTTATTTAAAAAATTGTTACCCTGAAACCAAATGGTAATTGGTGAGCTACTTTGTATAATATAATCTGTATAAAGGATAATTCAGAAAATAGCTTAAATTTATTCTACTAATAAATACTTGCGGCTTTCAATACATAGAAAATGTTTATGGACTCAGATATTTCTAAGTTGTCCTTGGTCTTACCATTATACGTTTTCCTATGAACCTATGGTTATCTGTCTGACGTTTGAGGAGGACATTGTACCTTGGTGTTTTTAATCATGTATGTGTTAGTTTTCTGTTACCATGACAAAATACTTGGGATAACTCACAAGGAGGAAAGGTTTATTTTGACTGGTGGTTGCAGGGTTTCCATCCATTGTCCGCTGGGTACATTACTTTTAGCCCTGTGGCAGGGAAGAACATCATGATGGGAGCACAAAGTAGAGCAAAGCTGCTCACTGACCGGGAAACAGAATAAGAGAAGAAACAGCCAGGGCCCCAACACTTCCAGTGACCTAACTTCTTTCCATGTGGCTCTGTCTACTAAATTTTGCCCCATTTAACACTGTGGGCTGAAGACCAGGTCTTCAGTACAAGGGCCTTTGGGGGACACTCAAGATCCAAACTGTAAGAGTGCTGTATTAATTTGTAACCTGCTTTAGTCACTTAATATCATCAGCATTTTTCTTTGTTCTGATGCAATCTTCATAGACTTTGTGCATGACAACATAATGATGGGCATCAGACTTTTCTGAAGAACGTGCAGAAAAATAGACTTCTAGTCTTACCTCTAGAGATTCTGATTTAAGCCTATAGTGAGCCTTCACATCTGTTTTTTCACATGTTCCTAGATGATTTTGGTGCAAAATGCCAGATGACCACCAAGATTTGTTTTATTGCATTATTGTTTGTTCGTTTGGTAAATGCTTTCATGAACATCTTTTGTGTAAAAGTTTTTACTAGTACCTGTGTGTACTACATAATGTTTACATTCCTTATGTGGAGATAACACATCTAACTAAGATAACATCTTAATTACTTAATTCACCTCCTTTCTTCCCCTCCCTTCCCCCTCTTTCCATCTCTTGAGCCCATCCCCTTTGAGAAAGATCTGTCTCCCTACTTCCTATTATCTATCTTTTAGTTTGCTCTTTGTTTTTACTTTGGGTTTCTCATGTAAGAGAAACCATGTGATATTGAAGCTTGTCTGTTTATTTCATTAACATTATGGTCTCAAGACCATTTCCCTGCAAGTGACTCGAGTTTATCTTTCTTTATGGCAAGTTTTTCTTATTTACAATTAAGCAGTTTATTTTTGATGTGCATGTGTGCATAGTTGGGGGTTTAACCCAGGGTCTCAGATAAGCTAGGCAAGTAAATGGCAATATAATGAGCACTGAGCTACATTCCCAGGCCAAGAAGTACTGGAAACTCCTGAAATGTTACCAGAAGCCTCGGTAGTAGGCTCCAGTCTCCTGCTCAGTGTACAATGCAAACCTGAGAAAAAACCTAAAAGACAGAACTAAGACAAAAAGCAGGGATCCAGGAAGGCCAATGCTGCTTAATTAGCAAAGACGCTGGTCTGTCCAAGCCAGTCATTTTTATTAGTGATCAACTGGAGTAAAGGCAAGCTACGTGGGAGGGTAGGACTGCATGTAAGGACAAGCAATTGTATAGTTTCTATGGAAATTAAGCAAGGCTCATAAAGGACAAGACAAAGCATTCTTGAATTAGGAACAGAATAGACGGAATATATGGTTGTAATTAGAACATTGTCCTTCTAGTTAAGAAAGTTTTTAATTGTGGGAACGGAATTTGGGTGTGAGTTGCTCTTACCTCAGCTTCAACTGGACTTGCTTCTCAAAACAAGCGAATTGTGGGGTTAGCTCTTCACAGCCTGCACAGCTTACAGCCTGCTTTGGGCATAATCAATATTGCAGTCTCCTGTAAAGAAGTGTTTTTTAAAATATATAAAGTGTAAAAATTACCTGATAAATATACCACACTCTTGCACTGTGTATCTATCCCAGAGCAGTGCCTTTGCTGGGTTACCTACCTCAGGATCTGATCGGGACGTCAATCCTAGCATACCTGCACCCAGAAGATTGTCCTCTGATGGTTGCCATACGCCAAAAGGGTAAGACTTACCCCTCTATAGGAGCAACTTGTGTTGCCTTTAATTTGTTCTAATTTTTCAATTCATTGCTCTCCAAAGCTTAATCTTTGACCAGATAAGTCATGCATTGAAACTGCTGAAACAATTTTTCTTAACATACTAAAACATTTAAAATAAATAAAAAAGATCACAGCTTGAAGATAAGATTGAGGAATTATTACATGCAGACACAAATAAATAAAATCCAAGAAATTATGAACAAACCGTTCAAGAACTCAAACCAAATTTACACATTTTTGGTGTAAAAGAGGGCATGGAGGTTCAAATGAATGGCATAAAAGATCTGTTTAATAAAATAACAGAAAAATTTCCAAATCTTGAGACTGATATAGACATCCAGATCCACGAGGCACTTAGAAGTCCAGACAAGCACAACCGGAAAAGAACCTCCCCACCTCACATTACAGTTAAAATGACAAAGGTATGGAACAAGGAAAGAGTCTTGAAAGCTACACGAGAGAAATGTCAACTCACTCACATAGGCAAACCCATCAGAATAACTCTAGACTTCTCTGCAGAAATGCTGACAGTCAGAAGGGTACGGAATGGTGTATTTCAAGCCCTAAGTGAAAATAACTGCCAGTCTAGATTACTACATCCAGCAAAGCTATACTTCAAAATTGAAGGCGAAATAAAGGCTTTCCAAGATAAGGGTAAACTAAAAACATCGTGACCACTGACCCCACTTTGCAGAAGATACTTAAACGAATCCTACACACAGAAGAGGAAGAGTAGATAAGCTGTTGAGAATTAGGAAAGAATCAAACATTAGAAAGGTGGTTATATATACCTTTCTGTAATAGCTCTGAATGGAAATGGTCTCAATTCTCTTAATTAAAAGTCATACTGGCAGATTGAATTAAAAACAAGACCCAGTTCTTTGCTGTCTGAAAGACATACCTCAAGCAAAGACATGCACAGATTGAAAGGGAAAGGTAGCTGAGATGAAAAAAAGCCACCCCATATTAGTGAAGGGAACAGTCTCCAAGAAGAAAAAACAGTTATAGGTACATACGCACCAGACATTGGTGCACCTGATTTCAGAAAACAAGCATCTCTTAATATAAACGAGTGACTTCAGTAGTCCTCTGTCACCAGTAGGTAGGTAGTCCAAACAAAAAAAAAAATAAAGAAAGAAACATCAGAGTTAAGCTACACTAATTAGATGGACTTAGCCGATGTCTACAGAACACTCCATCAAGCAACCACAGAATATACATTTTTCTCAGCAGCTCATGTTTGGATCTCCTCAAAAATAGATCATTCTAAGCCATAAAGCAAACCTTAAAAAATGTAAAAAATTGAAATTTTTTGCATCTTATTAGGTCATAATGTAATGAAACTAGAAATCAACAGCAAGAGTGACCCCAGAAACTATACAAACACATGGAGATTGAATAATAATACACTTTTGATCAATAGGTCATTGAAGAAAGTGAGGAAATTAAAAAATTCCCAGAAGAAAATTGAAACAACATAACAGAATCTGTGGGGTAGAGCAGAGGCAGCTCTAAGAGGAAATTATAGCTCTAAGTGCCTACATTAAAAAATAAGATCTCAAATAAATAACGATGCATCTCCAAGTCTTATAAAAATGAGAACAAACCAAAACTAACTCTAATAAAAGAAAAAAAATTATAGAGAGCTAAAATTAGTGAGATAGAGACTAAAGGAACAATACACAGAACCAATAAAGCAAAACGTTGGTTCTTTGAAAAGATAAGCAAGATTGTGAACCCATAGCCAAACTAACCAAAAAAACGAGAAGACCCAAATTAGTGCAATCAGAGATGAGAAAGGGTGCCGCAGACCAGCTACAGTCGATGTCGATGCAGGGTAGGAAGGGGAGATGTCCTGGGCTGGCGATGAGAAAAGAACCTTCACGAGCAATGTGCAGGTTCCCTCTGAGAAGTCTCAGGGTCTGATTTATTTTTATCTCTTTAAGCAATAGCTAGGAGGCGTTGGGCGGAACATGTTTACATTTTAGGTTGCCTTAGCAATTTCTGTTGAAGTAAAGGTTATTTTTTGCTAAACAGTATATTTTTTCTAAGCTGATTCATTTCATTGAACATCATGAATACATTTTTAAAAATTACAATTGTCCCCTTATTTACCCACACCTAAGCAGAACAGAAGGTAACTTAATCAAAATCTCTATATCAGCAGGGGTACAAGCAAGATTTAATCAATTAAATGTCAAACTTGTCGCCAGCTGGCCCTTGAGAAACTGCACAATGGTTAATATAGTTTGCTATTAGCTCTCTATTTTTCTATACCTCTATTCGTCTTAACTAAATGTCATTTAGGGTCATAGTCCATGAGCAAGAGATATTTACAGCACTTTGAGAAATATTGAGTAACTTGCCTCCTTAATGCATTTACCTGTCTTAACTTTCTTTCTTTTTCCCATTTTCCACTATTTCTTACATCTAAAGTCTGTCCTTTCAATCTCTTCACAAGACCCCTTTAGTAAAAAGAATGTCAGCAATAAGAGGGGGAGTCATAGTAGTGGGGGAAACAGAGGGGGTTTTAGGAGAGGTTTCTTTAGAAGTGGATGTGGCAATAGAACTAAGAGAAACAGGAATTTGGGGCTTATGAGCCAGATCAGATTTCAATATATCATTGCCAATTTGCCTCATGGAGAGTTTGTTGTTAGTCACAAACACAGTGACTCCTGTGATCAGAGTAACAGTTATAAACATTATGGCAAGAAAAAATAAAACATGAGGGTATGATGTGTTCCACCCTTTCTTTCCCCCAGCTGGAACTTTGTCAAGCAGCATTGGAGGTTGGTTGGGCTTTGCCAAAAGGGGATGTTACAACAGACACCACTGACACCACTGAAATCCAGAGGATTGAAGGAACGGCTTTGAAAACCTCTATTCTAACAAATTGGAAGCCCAGAAGAAATGGATGAATTTCTGGACACATGACCTGCCAAAACTGAACCAAGAGGATTTAAAACCCAGACAGGTCAGAAACAGGCAAGGAGTTCGAAGCAGTAATAAAATGCTTCCCAATGAAGAAAAGCCCAGGACCACATGGGATCACTGCCAGACCTTCAAAAAAGAACATCAGTGCTCCTCAGAGTATTCCATGAAATAGGGAAGAAACATGTCCAAACTCAACATCACCTGGACACCCACACTGGACAAGAACACAACAAAAAAAACTATAGACCAAATCCATGATGAACATAGATGTAAAAATCCTTAATAAAATATAAGCAAACTGAGTTCAACAACACATTAAAAAGATCATACATCCAAAAAAAAAATCATACACCATGGTCAAGTTGATTTCATAACAGTGATGCAAGGATGGCTCAGCATAGCAAATCAGTGAACATACCACATAAACATAAGCAAGGAGAAAAATCATATGATCGTCTCATTTGATACAGAAAAAGCCTTTGAAAGAAAACTCGGCATCCCTTTATGATAAAAGCCCTGAAGACTCTAGGTGATCAATGAAGGACCATCTCTCAATATCTTAGAGGCCATATACAACAAACTCACAGCCAACATCATTCTGAATGGTAAGGATGTCCACCCTCAGCATGTCTGTTCAATATAGTTCTTGAAGTTTTAGATGGAGCAATCAGGCAGAAGTCAAGTTATCCTTGTTTGCAGATGATATGGCCCTATACTTTGAGGACTCTAAAACCTTTCCAAAAGACTTTCAGAGCTGATAAAAATAAATTGAACAAAGTAGCAGGAAATAAAATCAGTATTAAAAATCAATAGCTTTTCTATATACCAGTAATGGACCAGCTGAGAAAGAAATCAGGAAAACAATTCTATTCAAAGTAGCTTTGAGAGGGGGCAGGGAAGGAGGGAGGGAGAGAAAGTTACAATTAGGGATCAACCTAACCAAGGAGATGAAAGACCTACAGTGGAAATTTTAGCTATGTTTTTTTTTTTTTTGGTACCAGGGATCAAACTCGGGACCTTGTGCTTGCAAGGCAGGCGCCAGAACCACTGAGCTAAATCCCCAGCCCAAATAAACCCTCCTTCCTTTTTTTGAAATTTTAGAATAGTAAAGAAAAAATTGAAGACATAGAATATGGAAAGACCTCCCATGTTCATGGATTAGCAGAATTAACATTGTTCAAATGGCCACATTACCAAAAGTGATCCATAGATTCAACATGATCCCCATCCAGATACCAACGACATTCTTCATAGAACTAGGAAAAATCTAAAATGAGTTTTGAAACACAAAAGAACCAAAACAGTTAAAGTAATCTTAAGCAAAAAGAACAACTCTGGAGACATCACAATACCTGCTTTTAAATTATCCTACAAAGTCATAACAAAAACATGGTACTCCACAAAATAGGCATGCAGGCCGACAGAACAGAATAGAGCACACAGGAAATACCCTTGCAGCTACAGTTAGGTGACTCTGGGCAAAGGAGCCAAAAACATGCTGGGGGAAAGACTGCCCCTTTAACAAAGAATGCTGAGAAAACTGGACACCCACTTGTCATGACTTCCTGAATAGGACTTCAAGAGCATAGGAAATAATAGAATCAACAAATGAGACATCAAATTTAAAAATTTCTGCACAGTAAGGGAAACAGTTGAGTGAAGATACAGCCTGAAGAGTGGGAGAAAATCTTTGCCATCTCCTCTTTTAACAACTCAAAACTTTACACTGAAAAAAAAAATAGTTCTATCACTGAGCAAATGAACAGCTACTTCTCAAAAGAAGTAGTATAAATGGCCAATAAGTACATGAAGATGCCCAACATAATTACCCATTAGGGAAATGCAAAACTACATTGAGATTCAATCTTACCCCAGTCAGAAGGGCTATCATCAAGAATACAATAAATGATGGTGGGCAGGGGATGTAGCTCAGTGGTTCTGCCACCTGCCTCGAAAGCACAAGGTCCAGAGTTCGATCCCTGGTACCAAAACAAATAATTATAATAATAAAATGCTGGTGAAGATGCAAAGGAAAAGACCCCTTCTACACTGCTGGTGAGAAAGTAAATTAGTACAGCCACTATGAAATCAGTATGGAAGTTCCTCACAAAACTAAAAATAGAGGTACCATTTAGTCCAGCTATTTCACTCTATGGTGTCTCCCCAAAGAAATGAAAGTCAACAGCATGCACACTCATGTTTACTGTAGAACGGTTCATAACGGCCAAGATGACCATCAACAGACGAATGGATAAAGAAAATGTAGTATATATACACCATGGAGTACTCATAAAAAAGAGATTTTTGTCATTTGCAAGAAAATTGAGATCTGGAGATCATCATCATGCTAGGCAAAAAAGACAAATATTGCATGTTCCCTCTAATATATGGAATCTAAAAAAGATGGCATGGAAGTAGAAAGGAGACTATTATTAGACAAAAATAAGAGAACAGAAGGAGGAGGGCAGGTATTGGGGGGTATGATCAGATATGTGCATTGAAATTCTCAAAATATGAAACCAGCGGGGATGGTGGGACAAGGGGAGTGATGGAGCATGAAAATAAAGCTACGTTACACGCAAGTGTGAATCTGCCAAAATGAAAATGCACTAATAAAACAAGGCGTGAAACCAAAAAAGGAAGACTCTGTTGGAAGAAATACCCATTCAGAGAATGAAACGTATGGAAATTTATGCTGACCACTAACGCTAATGACTGGAGATGCATGCACGAGTAATAAGAAATGTGGCTTTTGTGTTCATTATGCAGGTGGAGAGTAACAGCTGATGTTTTTTGAGCAACTTTTATTTTGCCCATCACATGAGCAAGTATTAAAAAATGATAGTATTTGTGCTAATAAGTATGCACTTTTGAACATTCTTGCAAACTGGTGTTCTAGTGATCACACTTTAGAAATTTGTTTGACAGGGCCGGGGTTTAACTCAGTGGTTTTGCCCCCTGCTGCACAAGCACAAGGACCTGAGTTCAATCCCCGGTACCAAAAAAAAAAAAAAAAGAAATTTGTTTGGCAATAAAAGAAATTAACTGTTCATATGTTTACCTGTATTGTATTTCTAGGAATCTTTATTAAGAAAATAGTAAAAAAAAAAAAAAAAAAGAATTTTTTTCAAAAGAAAAAGAACTAAGAAAGGACCCTCATAATCAGTGTCTGTGAGTCTGTTTTGTCTTGTAATTTTCTGTAGTCTTGAAGTATGCGGGCCATCCTCCCTTTGAACACTCACCCGTTAGATTTTGTGTTCAAAATGGTGACTTCATCGTACTGGATTCTAGTTGGTCCAGCTTTGTAAACCCCTGGAGCCGGAAGGTTTCTTTTATCATCGGTCGGCATAAAGTAAGAACGTGAGTCAATCAATTTTAATATTGTCTAAAAGATGTTTTTTGTTTAGTTCATTGACTGCCCCTTAAAGCAAATGACCCATGAACTGAATAAAGCATAGATTTTCTTTCAGTGCTTTTGGAAAAGTTTGGCAATAGGAATCAAGAGCCTTAAGTCTGAAACCATGATGTCAGGTTTAAAGTAGCTCAGATAGTCATCATTATGTACTGTGAAATATTTGTTTAGTATATATTATTATTTTGGCCATGAAATTTTTGTCAGTTTTGTACCTAACATGATACCTAAAATGTTTAACATGTTAGATGTGAAAGACAACATAGAAAATTTTCTGTATCTCTTCTTACAATTACATTTAAAACATATACACAGGTGAGGATTTAGCTCAGTGGTTCCGCTGCCTGCTTTGCAAGCACAAGGTTCCGAGTTCAATCCCCGGTACCAAAAAAAAAAGAAAACTGCTAAAACATATACACAAACTATGAAATAGGGAAAAGAATAGAAGGGAATAAAATATAAATTTTGGTTATGTGTGGACTAAATGGGACTATCGATAAATTTTTTTTTCAGTATTTTAAGATCTTTTTAGTGATCATAAACCTTTAATAGCCACCTTCTGTTATCAAATTCTACTTGTTTTTTAAATCTTTGTTTTTAAGATTATGTAATATTTCACTATGTGTTATTCCAAACAAGAAATTTTCAAAAGACAAGAATACTACAAGCAAAATGTGATAACAGATCCAAAACCACCTAGTATACAGCAGGTGCTAATTGCTAGCTTCCTCTTTTTTGTCTTTTTTTTTTTTTTTTTTTTTTTTTTTTTGCCAGCGAGTATGACTGCAGCTTGTTCCCTGTCCATGTGACAGAATCATGTCAGTGGGTCTAGAACAACCAGCCTCTACTCAGCCTGATACTGCTAGCCCTTGAATTTTTAGTCCTTTTTTAATTGACCTGTAGGGTTTCTAGTTGGGTATAGGTTTCTCCTCTTTCTCTATCTCTCTCTCTCTCTCTCTCTCTCTCTCTCTCTCTCTCTCTCTCTCTCTCTCTCCTTCTTTCCTTCTTTCCTTCTTTCCTTCTTTTTTTGCCTTTTTAAGAGTGGAAATTATACTTACCTCTTCGGTGTTGTGCCAAGATTGGTTTTGCATTTTGTTGTACAGTATAAACGTAAAATTGACAGTGGGAGATGTGCCAATAAAGTGTATGTTGTCGCCTTTGCATCACGGTCGAGATGGTACCTGTTCATGAGAAAGGCCTCCGGGGTGCTCTTAGGTCTCTGTCCTCCAGGGCAGGTCTGGAGCCTAAATGGAAGAAGGGGGTTCCTCGCTGCCCTAACTCTTAAGACTGATTTGTGCTAGAAAACCAATTTAATAATTAAAATGAGAGAAGACTGCCAAGTAGGTGCTGTTTGTGTTGGTCAGGAAGGGTATCACCTCCCCAGCAGGAAACCCTGTTGGGAAATGAAAATAAACCAGACGGCTGCCCAGTGTGAAGGTAGGAAACCCCATGAGAATTAAGTTTTTTCCGAGGCTCCCTCTTAGGGGTTGTTGATGCGTCTCTGTTCTCCGCACCAGGCAGTGCTTGAAGAAGAGCCTGGGTTTTCCAAGTTAACCCTTCCAGTTCTCTAAGTGTGTATGAAGGGACCTGACCTATTATGAGTACTCAAAATGTTGTACTTTTTAAGATTTCCCCACCATTTATGTCTCAATATCCATGATTATGTGTTATAATTGTGTGTGAAAGAATATAGTCTTCCAGATATTAATCTCTCATAAAATAATGTCCATTTATTTATAAAATTATTTTTAATGCATTCCTTCCAGTATCTGTGGATTGCCTACCCTGGTAAGACGTTATGTCAAACCTTGAGAGTGAGAAGGTGAACAGAACATTCTCTTAACCTTCATGGAATGTGCAATAAACAAAAAAGTGGCACCATCATATGCAGCTAGAGTTTGGGACAGGGTGATGGTAGAAGGGGAAGGGAGCTGTGAGAACATCTAGCAGGCCACCTGACCATCTCTGCAGCACCTCAGCAGCTTAGGTGCCATTGCCTGTCTTGTACAGGTAAAATCCACACCTGGAGAGGTGGAGTCCTTTCCCAGGGCTCACCTTGGGAGGAAGCTGCAGGTAGACTAAGGCCATTTTCCTTCTTCCTCCTGGTTTCCTTTATATACACAGCAGCCTGAATATTAGGTGGCATTATTGCCACTGTGTGACGTCTCTCTACCGCCTACAGATTCATCAGTTCAATTAAAAATATAGGGTGACGGGAGCCAGGGATTTAGCTCAGTAGTTTTGCCGCCTGCTGCGCAAGCACAAGGATCCAAGTTCGATCCCTGGTACCAAAAAAAAAGTCTTTAAAAAAAAATTGGGGTGATTTCCTAGAAATTTTCACAGCTGGGAATATCTGAATCTCATAGTATAAAACAGTAGCTTTTGTTTCCGTTTCAGAATTTCACTTGAAAAAACAAAAGACTTCTGAAAGATTTTTAAGTATGTAGTACACAGGCTGTATTTATACCATGAATCAGATGAACTAGTATTCCTAGACTACTGATTATTTATGCATGCACTCTTTTTTGTTTTTTGGTTTTTTGAGACAGGGTCTTCCTCCTGCCTCAGCCTCCCCAGTGCTGGGATTACAGGCAGCATGCCCAGCTATGCATGCATTCTTTTAACAAATATTTATTAGGCGCTTGCGTAGACCAGAAACTGTTTTGGTACTGAAGGTACAGGAGTGCAGAAACAGACAAAAACCCAACCCCGTGGAGCTTACACGGCAGTGGGAAGCAGGCAGAACAGATGACCAGCGGACAGTTACGTTAAGTGTGCAGTGTGTCCAGTGAGGCCAGGTGCAGCCTGCCATTTACACACCAGGCGCCTGTGCTGTGTGAAGATTGCGCCTGGCTCCCACCCCCGTCAAGGTGCTACAGAGCACAGAGGCAGATGGGGCAGCTGTTGCACTCGTCAGGGAGGGGCATGCGTGACGAGTGACTGGAGTTGTTGCCAGCTACTTTTATGCTACTGCCAAAGTCCTGTGATTTTCTGATACCCATTTCCGCCTTTGGGGCAGTGTTCCTGGTCTCATGTCACTGAATGTAAATTGTGAGAGACAGCAGGCTGGCATTGTGGAGAAATAAAAGTACTGGCTCCAAGGTCAGATGTGGTTTCAAATCCTGGCTCTTCTGCCTCTCGGTTATGTGAACTGGGACCAGTTCTTAGTTGCTCTGATCTTTACACCTTTGTTTTTTTTATTTTGAGGACTGAGGACATGCTAGACAAAAAATGCTATACCAGACCCAATCCCCTCAGCCCTCCTCACTCTTTGAATGCCAGGGAATAGTGTTACTTCATAGGGTTTAGGGAGGGGCTGGGGCTGACTGGTCCACATGCCTTATTAGTACTTGCTGTGTCGAGGTCCCTAGGGGCAGGGCATGTGATGGGAAAGGCGTGGACCTTGGCCCTTCATGCCCCTGCCTCACTCCCCCAGCCGGATGGATGGATGACTGGAAAAGGTTGCAGTTCCTGTGAAGGAGCTGGGATTTATGAAGCACTTGAAATGTTTGAAGGGTTTCAAAAATGTTATTCTTACTGTATATTATAAAAACTCATACGGTTCTCATAAAAAATAAGGTCCTAAATAAGCATCAGTTTCTTCTTTGCAATCCCTTGTTGCCATGTCTGCCATTTGCTCTAATTGGGTAGCAGATTTTAAACACCCCACAATCTGTGTATAAATGAGACTGAAGGTATTGTGGCAGCTGCGTTTGTTTTCACCACTAGGGTAGGTTGTAGAGTCGTATTGATTGGATAGCTTAAGCAATCAGGTGCATTTGTCATTAAATGCTGCTTGGGATATTTGGAGTTTTCAGATTTCTACAGAAAATTACCTAGCGTTAATGCCAAAATTTGAAATCAGTCCTTGTTGAAGATATTTTGGAGGCTCTCACTGATTTTAGATTTATACCTATATAGTGCTGAAAGGATTGCAGAAAGATTGCTGTTTTAGAGAAACTTTAAAAGCCTGTTAATATCTCATTTTTCTTTATATTTTCTGCATGTCCGTGAAGAGAATTTTTCCTCTGTATTTTCTGTATTTGGAGTCAAAGAGATGCTTTGAAAAGCACAGATTTCGTCTTCAAATAGTCTATTACAATCCCTTTGGCCTTTGTTGTGAATAAATTTTAAATTACTTGACAGTCTTTCACTTGGCATTTTGTTTTGTTTTGTTTGACTTTGCATTTTGTAGGGGGCCACTAAATGAGGATGTTTTTGCTACCAGAATAAAAAAGATGAACAATAATGACAAAGACGTAACAGAATTAGAAAAACAAATTCACAGACTTCTCTTGCAGGTAAAGTGAGAGGTTTTTTTTTTAAACACGAAATTCCCATAATTGTGTTGCCTGTTAACTTTAAATCTTAGTAAAGTCACTTCAAAAAAATAAGCTGTAAGGAGAGAGAAATCTTTACCTCTACATTTCAGAAACGTATGTCTTTCTCTTTTTGTCTTTAAACTCTATTTTTTGTTCCTCATTCTGTGTGAAATACACAGATTATTTTTGGAAGAATTTATTTTCAAATAGGGCAGAGAATTCTACCTGAGAGAATTCTTCTGTTTCAAACATCTCATTGTGTTTAACCTCGTTTCCATATTTATGTTAATAATTCCAACTTTCGATGATAGAGGGGTGTTAAGTCTCAGAATTATTATAACGTAAAAGGAAAAATTACATGTTGAAAAGAAATACTGAATGGAAGATGGTTTCTACTAGTCAGTAAAGCTGAGCATAGAGTCATCAAGTAAGTAACTGTTGGCTCAATTGTTTTCAAAATGTCTTTTATAAAATCCCTACAGTTCATGAAGTATCTGTAAAAGTCTTGAAAAAATACAGTATATATTGTTTGTTCTATCATTTCTTAACCTAAGGGACTAGTATTTATTTTCATGTTTTAAAAAATTACACTATGGCATTTAAATAACACATTGTGCTGAAATACCTGCCTAGAATAGAAAACAAAACTTTGCCCTTTAGAATTCGGAGATGACCAAGGACTGTCTTGGAACTCAGCATCAGGGTTAGAAGCGTCAACCTGCACACACCTGGGAAGGCTGAGTGATTTAGGACCTGGAAGTTCTCATCTGAATTTTCTGGTGATTGGAGAGAAGCTCGTGAGTTTACCTTGCAGCCATTCCAACAACCAGTAACTGAAGTGGGCCTCTCTGCTCTCAGCCGGTGCACGGGAGCGCCTCTAGTGGCTACAGCAGCCTGGGCAACAGCGGGTCTCAGGAGCAGCAGGTCAGTGTGGCCTCGTCCAGTGAGTCCAGCGGGCACTGTGTGGATGCCGCACACCAGGAGCCAGAGCTGGTGAGTGGTGGGCGGAGGTCCTACCCCGGGACCTCTTAGGGTATGTTTTTGACTCAGCTGCCATCTGACAAGAAACACTTCAGTCCCTTCTGGTTTGGACAGATGTCTGTGACAAGAAAATAGCACCTTTGGATTAATTGTATACTTTCTAAAAATTGGCATCTTAACCACTTTTTAAAGTGTCGTTGGTATCAGTGAATCTTGGCACAGTGGGAAGCTGAATTAAAGTGACGGCTCCGCTTTTTGTCCTCATTTGTTTAGGGAACCAAAAGTTCAATGTATTTTATTTTATATCTTTCAGTGCACGTTCTTACCATTTTTGAAACCTGTTTTATTCTTTTCCCTAAGATGACCTTGCAGCAGGTGTACGCCATTGTAAACAAAATTAAGAATCTGGGTCAGCAGCTGTACATTGAGTCAATGACCAAATCTCCAGTCCAGCCGATGATGGGGGCATGCGCAGGGCCGCCGGGTGGTGGTGAGTCAGCTGTGGCGAGGTGCCCTCTCGTGTCCACTTCGCATCTTTCTTGATTTGCTCAAGCAGTGCTAATAATGTTAAGGATGACAGCAGCAGAAGTTACTCTGAAAGCTAAATGGTACTAGCATGGAATTATACTGCTTTTACTGAAGAATGAACTTTTATGATACCAGAAAATTCACAGATTTTCCTCCCTAGCCGAGCTTTCTATACACCAAGAGTCAATTTTAGAATACATTTCAGGTAATAAACAGTAATCCCTTTCATTTCTAATAAATAAAAGATATTTATGATCTAAACTGAATGAAAAATGTTGGCTTTTCTTTTCTTGGTTTTTTTGGTACTGGGGCTTGAACATGGGTCCTCATGCTTGCAGGGCAGGCAGCAGAACCATTGAGCTAAATTCCCATCCCCTGGCTTTTTTTTCCTTGATACATGTTTACTCAGATGTGAGATAAAGACCATTCCAGAAGACTTGGATTCATTGTATCAAGAAGCATTTTTGTGGGTGTGTGGTACTGGCGATTGAACCCCGGGGTGCTGCATCACTGAGCTACAGCTCTTTCTGTTTTTGAGCAGGGTCTTCCTGAGTTCCTCGGGCGGGCCTCCAGCTTGCAGCCCTCTTGTCTCAGCTTCCCAGGTTGCTGGGACGCATGCATGTGCCACCATGCCCGGCAAAGTGGCATTACTTTGAAAGGTTAACCTAGTAGTTTCCTGGCAGAGGAAAGTCCTATCAAATAGAGGTCAGATTAGATTTACTTTTGAATTTAGCTCATTTTCCCTTCATTTCTTCCCTGAATGTTTAATACAGTTTTGGATGTCATGATGGATTTTGGAAATTCAGATGTTACAATTGGTCTTTGTCTTGTGGGAAGTAGGCATTTTACACAGTAGAAGTGACATTTTCTTGCTAAGGCCAGTACTAACCATAATAACAGTGACAGTAGCTATGCTTTTCAGGACCTGGCATAATTTACTGTAAAAAGATTCAAAGTGCTGTTCCCATCGGTGGTGTCCCCAAAGCTGTCTTCTTCATGTAGAGCTTCTATATGAAATCCCTGAGACTGAAATTCTCTTCTCCCCGTGTTAGAGGCTGGGACTCCAGGGTCAGGGTGGCAGCCACATGTGGTGAGGCTCATGCCTGTGCTTTGAAGACAGGGCCTTGGGCCTTGTGTCCTCCAGAAGGGAATGGTGCTGTGTCCTCACACGCCAGCGGGACAGAGAGGCAAAAGGGATCAGACGAGTTTCCTTGGGACCTTTTTTTATCTGGAGATGAGACTCCCTCTGTTGCCCACATTGGGGGGTGGGGGGAGTATGTGTGTATGTTGGTGGGGATTGAACCTTGGGCCTTCTCTCTGAACTACATCCTGAGCCCTTTTTATATTTTTTGTTGAGGCAGGGTCTCACTAAGCTGCCCAGGCTGGGCTTGAACTTGCAATGTTCCTGTCTCAGCCTCTGAGTGTACAGGTCACACACCTTACTCCCATCTGCAGCCCTTTAAGTAAAGTCACCAATACCAAGCATGAGGACTGGGCGTGGTGGCACACACCTATAATCCCAGCCCTCGGGAGGCTAAGGCAGGAGGATCTCCTGAGTTTGATGCCATCCTTACCTGCATAATGAGATCCGGTCTAAAAAAAAAGTGTAGGTGCTCTGCCCTCATGACTTAATCACTTCCCAAAGATATCACCTCTTAATACTAATTCCAAACTGAATTTTAACAGGGCCGAGCCTGTTGGACTCCCCCAGGAGTAGTAATCCTGTCCTTCTGTTTTCTCTTTTCACCTCCGTAGGAAGCTCAGCGTTCCATTCATTTCTTCTGCTGTGACACAGAAGGGTACAAGATAGGAGTACAAGGGTTTTTGTCCCTTGAAACCACCAGATTCCCTCAGTGCAAAAGAATTTATCTATTTATATTAAATATCATCATCCCATGTCCCAGCAGAGAAAGTCCCCTTGGCCTGAGAGCTAAAATTTCTAGATGTTTTCATTATCGTCTGATCTGGTCAGTCCTGCTCATTCTTGCCTTGACCCAGAATCTCATTTTTAATACCACAGTTTTACATCCTAATCTCTGCATTTTATTTCAGAGTTGTTTCCTTTGTCACCTCCTTCAGCATGGTATCTACAAGAACCCATTCTGAAAACAAAAACAGGTTAAACACAAAAGGTTAACCACGTTAACCTGAATCAAAAGAAAGCTGCACTGATATCACATAAAGGCCACATGAAGCATTTATCACAGTAAACCTGTTCTAGACCAAAATACAAACCTTAGCAACTCTTAAAGAAGAGAAATAATACAGAATAAATCCATGACAAGTATATCTAGAAAACCCGCAGATTTTTATTTTTAAATGACCCGCAGGTCAAAGGTGATAGTGTCTTCTGTGATAGGATGACATGAGGAGCACGACACTGACCATGTGACATAGCAATAGCCTAGCATTGGCCTTGTGAAAAAGCTCAGGAAGAGGCTCCTCTGCTCCTGGTGTCCTGGGTCATTGAGCTATGCTGACGTGTGGGTGCACTGAGCAAAGGCACGGTTCTCCCTCAGGGTGGAGTGAGTGCTTGATGTCTCAAATTATTTCCTGGTCAGATGAGCAAGTTAATCCAAGCATTTCCCATCCTCATCGCTATAAGGGTGGAGAAACCTTTCGGGCCAGCTAGCATTAACCCTCGTAATTACCGACACAGGCAGCCTCTCCCCAGCACCCGGGCAGCCACTCCTTTCTTGAACTGGATTCCATTCTTGGTTCCCAAGGCACCTGTACTTTGCAGGATTTTCTTAGATCCCTGACTGTTTTTCAGTCTCCCTTTCTGGCTCATTCTTCTCTCAAGGGAGTTGAAGTTCTGCAGTGCTGGGGCCTAGAGCCTTCTTCTCTCTGTACTTGTGACATGGTGGCCAGTGGCTGTACTTGGCAGTTTAAATTCAAATCAAATACAAATAAATACAGTGAGAATAGTTCTATCCTTCAGGGGCTCTGGCTACACTTCAGGTGCTTAAGAGCTCTGTGTGGCAGTAGCCACCAAATCGGACAACACCTGAAAAGGACAATGCCAGTATCATCACAGATTACACCCAGGTACTGCTGTGTGCTTCTCCAGCACAGGAGACATGCACAGTGTCTCGTCATCCCGTTCTTCGTGGCACCAGGAGTGATCCCTGGATAGGCGTTTGGTGATGGGTGATAGTGCAGCACACAGTGTGGGTGCATGGCCCAGTGGTGCAGGTAGCATCAGCCTGTTACCTGACACTGTTATTGATAGCCCTTGCCTGAAATGTACTTCACTCATTTTTTAAGTGCCAACGTGGTGACTCCCTGTGCTCTCCACCTCATTGTGTTCAGGTTATGTGGTGTGGTTCTTTCTACATAGGTGCAGTTACACCTGAGCTCATTTGTAATACTCTATTTGTAGTGCTCTATTAATGTGTACGTCATAAAGTACCATGGTTTAATTTTGCTGCTGTTTTCTTAACTACATGCTAAGTATTTTAATTGCTCATCCTTCATTCTCTTTCAGGTGAGACCTTTTCTTCCTCTCAGATGCTGAACAATAAAAACATGTGCACTGAGTCTTGTGAGGGTTTGAGGAAAGACCAGCACAGCCCATCCTATCAACAGATACACTGTATCGATAGTGTCATCAGGTATGAGACACAAGTTCTAATAACAGTTTTTGCCAAGAGGGTACATTGCCCCTGTGGAGCCTTCATGGAATTTTTAAAAGCTGCTCGGTCTTGATTTTATACTGTAAATTAGTAGCTATTTAGAGAGTACTTACTGCATGCAGTTTGCAATATACCGGCCATTATGGAGGGTGCAGAAAAATCACGAGATGCACCCCTTCTCTGGGGGAGCTCAGGGATACCCAAGAAGACCTAAGCTTGAAGTTACATGGTATAAAATGTGAGGATCAGCTCAAGACTGTAGTAAAAGACCTGTTAAAACCCAGTGACCCGACCTGGGATTTTCGGAGAAGACTGCGAGCGAGGAAGTACAAAGCATCCCAAACAGAAGAGGCCTGGGAGGGGCAGGGAGGTGGGCGCTGCACAGGGAGGGGACAGGTAAGAAGGCGTGGTCTGCTCTTCTGCAGATACCTGAAGAGCTGCCATGTCCCAGTTTTGAAAAGGAAGTGCGTCTCGCGTACGAACACAGCCTCTTCGTCATCAGAGGACAGGCAACACCACAGCATGGACAGTGCCCAGGCTCTGCAAGGTGACAGCAGTGCCTTCCTAGTGAGATAAGCAGAACGCACCCTAACTCCCTCCCGACCTCTGTTTCTCTTTCATTGTAATCACAGAACCCTACTTTGGTATTACTTTTTAATGGCCAGTAGGCTTTGTGAGAGAACAGCCTTTGTAAACTGTTGGCTGTAGTATCACCTTTAATATCCCCTTCCTGTTGGTAGTTTTCTTTTCACTTTTGTTTCCCCTGTGTCACCAGCCATTGCACAGATCCCGGCCACTCCTACACCAGAAGTGCCAGAAAACATCCGGCCCACGGCTGTCGAGGGCGGTGCCACACAGACCGTGTCCACCACAGCACTGAGCTTGGCCTCGGACACGAGCCGGTGCAGTTGCAGCAGCACCCTCATCCACATCCCTCCCCTGGAGTCGGGTACTCCCTTTCCTTCACCAAGTCCTGGCTTGTAAATTATAAGTACTTTTCCCTTCTTTAGTTCAGGTAGGGTTGGAAATGGCATATTTGTATTGGTTTCAGATTTTAGACTGTATGTCTTAGTTCTGTTATTTGTGGCTAGAATCAGCCGATGTGTGTGAAACACATAGAATGGGTCCCTCTTCTTTTTTACTGCCTGCCTCCTGTCGGTCTGACCTTTGATTCCTCATAACCATGTGGTAGAGGAAATGGTGACAGATCTGTGAAGCTGAGTTTTCAGTTTTCTCTAATCTGTCTTTGCCAGCCGCAGGTGGCAGATTGGCTCCTGTGCAGTGAGTTGTGACTGTGAGCCGTTCTGTTTTCAGTCCTTGGCCCGCACTAACTCGTTCAGTCCGGGCTGGGGTCCTGGGGAAGCATGCAGTTGTGGCTCTGAGAAGGTCACGTTACTCTTCTGATTAGCCAGAGAGGGAGTTTTACCGGAACTGAGCCAGGCCCTCAGAACAGGAGCAGGTGCACATTTTTTAGAGCACTTTTCCTGATACTTTGGACCCTGTGCAGGCGAGCAGCTGCCATGGTCTGGCCCAGACGAGGTGGGGAGCATCACGACCAGTATGGGAAGCACTTTGTCCGTCTGTGCCTCTCCCGTGTCACCTGTGTCTCGGTACTCTGTCCTTTATTGCCACTGTGGAAGAATGCGTATTAGAATCTAGATATTCAGTGGTTTCTTCTGATCTTAGGCTAGTCTTACCGTCTGCAGGGCCACATCTCTATCCAAGGAGGAAATGCAGAATCAGAGCTCCTGGGCTCTCAGACTCTATGCTTTCTCTATGCCCTTGCTTTCTAAAAAGTCCTTATTCTTGCATTTTATACCCTGGCCCCAGTACCAAGTGGGGACTGAGGACTGTGAACACAGCTGCACTTCCTTGAAAATTCTTGTCTGACCTTTGTGGAACAGTTAAGGCACAGACAGGTGAAGGAAACTCACCCGGAGTCAGAGGCCCCTGAGGAGCGGAATACGGAGTCATCTGCTGCCACAGAAACTGCTAAACCTGAGCTAAAAATGTGAGATGCAAAGATTAGCTCAAAAGCCAATTCATAAATTAAAAGGAAAGTTTTAAAAAATACTCAAATCCAAAAAAAGAGCAGGAAAAGAGCAATAGAGGGGGAGAAAGAAAGAAAAAGACCAAACCAAACACACAATAAAATAGTAGCTCTAAGTCCAGTTTCAGTGACAGCTTAAAATAGACAACTGCAGGTTAAGGGATGGAGATCGTCAGAGCAGACAGATTGGCCCCAGCCCTGCTGCATACAGAGAGCAGCTTAGACACAAACTCACAGGTGTGCTGAGAGCAAATGGATGGGAAAGACACACGGCTCAAACAATAAGCATAAGAAAACTGGAGCTTCTAAAGCTAGGAAGCCAAAATGGAAATTAAGGTAGAAAGAAATGGATTTGCCATAATCACAGTTGGAAAATTTAGCCTCTGTCTGCAACTGATAGAACATATGGGCAAAAAGAGGAAAGAAACAGATGAGCTGAATGCCACTGTCAATCGCCTTAGCAGTTGATTTTTTTTAATGTTATTAATTTTATTGGTTTTAGATATACAGTTTAATGACATTCATCATTGGGAGTTTGCACCTTTACATAATCTTTCTTGGTTCTTATTTTTCCCCCTTCCCCTGCCCTCCCTTCAACCCCTCCCCATCCCTCCCTATTTACAAAGACTTCGTTTCCATTTTTTTCCTTTTCTCATATTAATTCCATTCCCTTATTTTCTTTCCCTATCCCTCCCACTTTCCCTTTCCCTTTGTCCCTTTTCTTCCTATTTCACATTATCTATTATACCTTTTAGTCCTCATGTACACTTTTAGTTTCTCACACCAGAGAAACTATTCAGTATCTACACATATGTGTCCTATTTATTTCACTTAAGAGTAGTGCCTCAGGGCCGGGGATTTAGCTCAGTGGTTTCGCCACCTACTGCACAAGGACCGGAGTTCGATCCCTGGTACAAAAAAAAGAAAGAAAGAGTAGTGCCTCAATGTATATCCATTAGCTATAAATGTCTCTAAATTTCTCCTTCTTTATGGCTGAATAGTACTCCATTTTATAGAAAAACCACATTTTCTTTATCCAGTCTCCAGTTAATGGGCACTTGGGCTGTTTCCAAGATTTAGCTATTATAAACTGTGCTGCTGTGAACATGGGTACACATATATTGCTGTGGTATGATTCTTTTAATTCTTTCAGGAAGATAGACAACTGGGAAATAGCCGAGTCACATGGAACTTCCAATCCTAGGTGTACAGTTGTAGTGGGGGACCTCAACACCCTACTGTCACAAACAGATCAACTAGACAAAAAATAATGAAATACTAGAACTCAATCCAACTCTTGAACAAATGAACTTAACAGATGTTTAGAGTGTTTGACCCCACAAAGTCAGAATACACATTCATTTCAGCTGCACATGGTTTGTTCTCCAAAATAGATCATATACTCGCTCATAGAACATGTTTAAGTGCAAAGGAATTGAAATTATCCCCTACATGTGCAATGAAATTGGAGACCATAGTGCGATGAAATTGGAGATCAATAGAAAAAGAAAGCGCAAGAATTTCATAAACTCATGGAAATTGAACAACACACTTCTGAACAACCAGTGGGTCACAGAGGAAATTAAGAAATCAGACAGTTTCTACAATTAAATGACAATGCCAGTACAACATATAGGAATCTATGGGACACAATGAAAGCAGTCTTACGAGGGAAATTCATAGCAGTGAATACTCATATTAGGAAAACAGCAAGTTCAGTTAACCTAATGCTGAACCTCAAGCTTCTAGAAAAAGAATAGCAGGACAAACCTGAAGCTCATACAAGGGAGGAAATTACAAAGATCAGAGCAGAAATCAATGCAGTGGAGACTAAGAATGATACAGAAAAAAATCAATGAAGCAAAGATTGAGTTCTTCAAAAGAATAAACGAAATTGACAAACCTTCAGCCAACCTTATCAAACAAAAGGAAAGAAAAGGCCCAAATCCATGCAATTAGGAATGAAAAGGATGAAATTACAGCGGACTCAGCAAAAATCCAGAGGATCATCAATACCTACTTTGAGAACCTATACGCCAATAAGATGGAAAACACAGAAGAAATGGACAGATTCCTAGATACATATGAATTACCAAAGTTGAACCAAGAAGAACTAAAAATTCTAAACAAGTCAGAGTGGGTCAGTGTCAATATCAATCAGTGAAATTGAAAATGTAATTAAAAACTTACCAACTAAGAAAACTCCGGGCCCTGATGGCTTCACTGCTGAATTCTACAAGACATTTAGAGAGAACTATTGCCATTACTGTTTCAACTCTTCAGTGAAATTGAAAGGGAAGCAATACTCCCAAATTCATTCCTGGAAGCAAACATCACCTTGATCCCCAAAGCAGAGAAAGACCCAACCGAAAAAAAGAGAACTATAGGCCGATCTCACTAATGAACATAGATGCAAAAATCCTTAATAAGATACTGGCAAATAGAATGCAGAAGATCATCAAGAAGATCATACACCCTGACCAAGTGGGATTCATCCCAGGGATGCAGGGATGGTTCAACATATGCAAATCAATAAATTTAATACACTATATTAAATAGTATTATATATTAATAGAGCCAAGGACAAAAACCATATGAGCAGTTGGTCTTTAGAAAACACCCAGTAACTTGAGAACGCATAGTCGAGTACACCCAGGATGTTCACTGACATAGCTAGGATTTTTGGCTGTAATTTAAGACTCACATTTAAAAGCTTTGATGATGTATAACATGTTCTCTCTGCCTAGGGTGAATTAAATTAAAATCAATAGATATTTAAACTCAAACAGAAATTAAACAGCATGTTTCTAAATAATCCATGATCAAAGAAGAAATGACACCAGGCATGGTGGCACACGCCTGTAATCGCAGCACCTTGGGAGGCTGAGGGGAGAGGATCACCTCAGAAGTCTGAGGCCAGCCTGGGCTCCACAGTGAGACCCTGTCTCAGAAAAAGAAGAAATCATAAAAGGTATTAAAATATTTTAAAATCAATAATGAAACTGGCCAGGTGTGGTGGACCATGTCTGTAAACCCAGCACCCAGGGAGGCTGAGGCAGGAGAGTTGGAAGTTTAAGTCCGGCTTAGAGGATTTAGGGAGAGACCCTGCCTCAGAATAAAAAAATGAAAAGGTCCTGGGGATGTATAGCTCAGTGTGAAGGCTCTGGGTTTAATCCCCAGCACCACCCACAAATAATAATTCACTGTATGTACTGAAGTTTGTAGGATGCAGCTAAAGCCAGCTTCATAGGATTGGTAACCTTTAATGATGATGTCAGAGAAGCGATGTCTTCAGTGACCTAAAGTTCCAGGTTAAGGAGACAGCCAAAGAAGAGCAACATAAACCCAAGGTACAAGGAAGGAGATAATGAAGAAAAGAGCAGTCATCAAAGTAGGAAACAGATAATTGAGAAAATGGAAGCTAAACTTGGGTTCTCCGAAAGGAGGAACAGAATTAACAGAACCTTTATGCCAGTAGCAGAATGGCCTTAACTTCCGCAGCTGTTGCGTGGTCCTGAAGGCGGGCAGTGTGAAGACTGCAACTGCTCTCTCCACGTCCCTCCGGAGAGCCGATCTGTGCCAGGGTGAGGTGGGGACGGTTTCTTCCCAGCTGTGCTGAGCATTCTCTTTCCCTGCCTCTCTGCATTCGGGGAGATTGGGCCCCAGCTGCTGTAAATGGTGCTGGATGTCCTGTGAATATTGTGCTTTATTTTAGGCTGTGGTTAAGTTGTCTGGAGTCAGGTGGACCCTGGCAAGCTGTGCTTTCAGATCTGTGCTACTCAGGACAAGCGGAGTCTCTTCCAGGCCTGACTTCTCTGCCCCTGAGGCTGGCTCTTCCCGGTGGGGACAGCGCCCTCCTGGGGCTGTCTGTCTCAGCCAGGACTCTCCGCCCCTCCTCTCGCTGTGCTGCTCTCCGGGGGCTCTGCCTCCTGGGTCTCACCAGACCCACCCCCACCGAAGCAGTCCTGGCCTCGCCTGGTTCCCTGGGGGCCCCTGGGTCACCACCCTTTGCCTGAAGGTCAGGACCTTGAGCCTGGTTTTCATGTCATCGCTTGTCCATGTATCCGTTGTTCTAGGTGGGAAGCCAGCTGGTCCCAGTTACTCTGTCTTGGCCAGAGAGGTGGTTCTGTCTGCCGAGCGGAGCAGGCCGCTTAGAGCCCCTCGGCCTGGGCCAGCCCAGAGGAGTGGGTGGGTGCTGGGGCCCAGCAGTGCCCACCAGGAAGCATTCTGTTCTTGGAAGAATTCATGTTTGTAGAAGCAACTCACGGGTCCACCTGCAACTGGGGATTATACATAGAATGGAACCCTGCACCGTATACCAACGTGTGAGACAGCTATCCCTGTCCTAGGAAGGTTCCCCCAGGATGTTAAGTGCAAAAGGAAAGCTGCAGACTGGTGTACACATGCGCCTTCTGGGTGAGAGCTCAGAGCAGTCAGCCGGGCAGTGACCTATCTTCATGTTTGTTTATCCCGGCATAAATGAGGAGGATGTACATCAAGGGAGGGCTGTCCTGGGAGATGACTGAGAACTGGGCCGTGGTAGGGATGGGGAGAACATACTCAAAGATAAAAAAGAAAAAATGTCAGAGACACTGTATCTTGGAAAATGTTTACAATAAAAGCAGGAATTAAATAAATGTACGTCTACAATTACAACTCTATAAAGTGTATAGATATATATGTGTATGAAAAATAAGAATTTTGTCCTAGGCTGGTGAAGTTTTTTATATTCCACCAGTCCACCATTCCATAATGGTGTTTGTAAAGCTTATTGAAGTCATTTTGAAACTAAAGATAAATATACCTAATCGATAGGACTCATCATGAAGTCTCTTTCTCCTCAGCAGAGGATGCCACTGGAGCGTGTGCATCCCGGGCCCTTGGCACACAGCCGGCTGCTTTGGCCTCGGAAGAGTTCAGAGGCACGAGGCTCACTGTCGGCCCACACGCAGAAGGAGGAGCAGGACTGCGTGGACGGATTCCGGGAGAGGATCCTGTCCTCACCCTACAGCTGCGTCTTCAGCAGGAAAACAAGCCCAGCCAAGTGCTCCTCTGTCCGAGGTAAGGCATTCATCCAGCAGCTGTTGAAAATCTCGCACAGTAGAGTCCTCTTCAGCTGTAGAGAGGCCCAGGTGCGGGGGCACCTTCTGCACCAATAGCAGCACCCACGAGTCCAGGCCCCTGTGGTAGAGGGTGAGTGTCTGCACGCAGCCCCCGAACACCTCCCGTGCCCTGTGCCTCGTCGCTTGCCACACTTTATGCAGTGTAGGCAGTCGCTGCACTGAATCCTGTGGGGAGCAACACTCGTTTAGTACAGATACAAATTTATTTTTCCAGATATTTTCAATCTGTGATTAGTTGAATCCAGACCTGCAGCTACAGCAGGCCAGCTGTCTTGAAAGAGAAGGAATACATATAGGAGTCATACCTGTGTGAAACAGGCTGAGAGAATTCACTTATATCAGTAATTCATCGAGGACCTGTATTAGATCCTGGACCTGAGGAAACGATTTTTACAAGAAACTGATTAAGAGAGGCCTAAAATAAACTGATTAATTTTTATCCAGAATTTGGTTTGCCTTTTTTCAAACTGCTCTTAGCCATTGCTGTAGTCGCCAGAGTTACTCTTGGCAAAGGTTTATTCCTCGGGCACCTACTGCCGATTACCTGGAGATGGCATTCTCTTCTCTTTGAGCTTTAACACCTCCACCATGTGTCCCCCTCTTTATCCCTTCAGGAGGTTCTGCCTCCAAGCAGAGCAGATCAGCTGGATGCAAGGAAGTGAGGCACAAGCGGAAGAAGCTGCCGATGCTGCTGAGTGGCAGCAGCTTGGACGCCAGCATGTGTCCCCTCAACAAACAGCTGCTTCAAGACGTGTGGCCCTGGTGCCCTCCTGCAGCCCCCGCACCCCAGGCCCCAGGCCTGGCCCTGCCTTCCACCGTCACCACGCTCCCCAGCCAGGCCTCTCACCTCCTGCCCGCCCTGGGCCTCCCAGCCCTGGCCTTTCTGGGAGCAGGGGACCCTGCAGCCTGCGGAACTGCACCTGTGCACCTGCCCAAGCCACCCTGCCGCAGCGGCCTGCACACCCTTCCTGCTTTTCCTGCTCCTCACTTGGGTACTTTCGTGACCATCCTCTTGCACAGCACCCCCATCTGTCCTCCTTGGTCACCGTCCTCTCCACATCTGTCCCTGGGGGCCTCAGGCAGTTCTGAAATGCTACCTGCAGCGTCAGCAGTGGCTCCAGACCTGGAACCACCTTCAGTCGACAGCCAAGGGAGAGTGGAGGGCACATGGGAGGACCAAAGTGAGGAGTCTGGGCACATGAATTTGAGGAGCAGCTCACCACTGCAGTTAAACCTGCAGGAGGAAATGCCCGGATCGTGGGCACCTCCCGACCCGGCGAGGAGGGACATTACCCCAGAAGCCGAGTGTGTAAGTGATGCTCGCAGGACCGGGAAAGTGAGTGCGGATCCCCTAATAAAGTGGAGGTCCTGCATGGGGTGACCCCTGTCACAGCTGTGACTGATGCCACACCTCTGTCTGCATAGTGCACGTGTCCCTCTGACCTCAGCCCAGAGCAGGTGTCACCTGTCAGGTTCTCTGAGAATGGCTTCCTTCCACCCTTTAAGACTTGATTTCCGGGTATTACACTTAACGTGCTCACTGGCTGAAAAGTGTGTTTTCATACACCTGGGGCGATGGTCCGGAAAGGTGGAACTAAGCCATGTGACAAGATGTAAATGTAGGTACGCCCACTTTTTCATGCATTGTTGTGGACAGTAATTGTGTATGAAAAAGATAGAATCTCTTTTTTGTCATCAGAGAGGAAGCAGTTTATAATTTCATGCTTTTACATACCATTTTTAAAAAGTTTAGTCAGTTTCCTTTAACTTCTCAAAGCCTAAAAAGACATCCTCAGGTTTGTTTATCAGGTTAATCTTTGGAATCTGACTTCTGTGTATTTAGGTATACAATATCAGGTGAGTGTGAATACTTACACAGGCTTTTCTTCAGTCTTCTCTTCAAGGTATAGACACTCAAAACATGATGACCCAAATCAAAGAAACACGCTCGCCTGAAAGCTCACCTCAGAGGCTGCCGAGCCCTCACCAAAGCTCTGGGGCAAGGCCAAGCCTGGGCTGGGCAGGAAACACCGGGCAGGGCCGCAGCTCTGTCCCAGCCAGGCGCATTAGCTGCGGTCGCTGCTGAGCCTCTTTTTGCCTTGGTTTCCTTGTAAGGAGAGGGGAGATGGACAGCACCTGACTTGTTCTGAGGCGAGGCAGTGTGAGAAGTGCATCTCCCCGTGCAGTGCAGGCTCTGGGAGAGCTGGGGTCTGTCATCCACAGCTGTGTTACTGGAGTTCGGTGTAGTGCCCAGAGCATGTCAGATGTTGGGCACATATTTCCCAAAGGACAACTAAAACCCGCCCTTCTGTGATTCGTGGCACGCAGTAGAACTCTGACCCAGCAGTGCCTGTCCTGCGATGGACACAGGCGCTTCGGCTGCATCCTTTGGGTCAGGCTGGGAGTCCTCACTTCTCAGGGATGCAGATATACTTCATTCTGCTCGGCCTGAGATGCCCAAGTTCCAACTGTCATCTTCTGCAGTGCTTGCAGTGTTAAATACCCTCTCTCGTCCTTCCTTCCCAGCGTGGTGTTAGAGACAGCAGTGGCCACAGTGGCCCGTCTGTGGCGTCCCTTCCCAAGGCATGCCCGTCTGGATCCAGCTCTGCAGCCTCAGGTAGTGTGTGGCTCAGGAAACCCCTTCTCCACGCCCTGTCGCCACGTCACTGACCAGGCTTGCCTGGTTTCCACACTGGCATAGAGGTGAAGACTTTTCCCTGTATTCTTTTTCTGGATTTTCTCAAGGTGGATTTACATACAATAAAATTCACCCGTTACAGGTGCAGAAAACAAGAATTCTGACAGGTGTGTGGTTCAGGTGTAAGCACCAGCGGTCACCATTCAGAACATTCCCTTTGCTCTGGAGAGTTCTTCTGTGACCTTCAATGTCTCTCCCTGACCTGGTCCTCCAGCTTCTGGCAAACCGTCAATTTGCTCTGTCACCTTAGTTTTGCTTCTTTAATTTCCTATAAATTGGGTCATGTGGCATTCAGTCTTTTGTGTTAGGGTGCTTTCAACTAGAATACTGCTATTGACATTCACGTTTACTGTACAAGGTCTGATCAAAATACACAATGAATACTTAAATTGTAAAAATTTCTTATACTTAAAGACATTGCTATTAATCTCCTTGCTTCAAACACTCTTAATGCCATCATCTTGCCACTTTCTGAAGCAATTCTAGAAGTCCTTTTTTGTGAGCATCTTTACAAGGTGTGATCAAAAATTCAGTGAACGTTTCTGCCAAGTGGCATCCAGTGGAAAGGCGGGCTTATAAAAACATCCCAGCGGGTCCTCACCACCTGTTCACTGGATCTGGCACCCTGTGACTTCTGGCTCTTCCCTGAAGTCAGAGTGACCGTGAAAGGTCAGCATTTTGAATTAATTCAGGACATCAAGGCAGCCACGACAGCGCAACTAAAGACACGAAAGACACGTGCTCCAGAGCTGCTTCAGAAAGTGGTACCAGTGATGGGATAAGTATGCTCAAAATGTGAGGCAGTATTTGAGCGGGGTTAGCAGCAGCATGTCTTTTACTATAATCTTAAAATTTAGAGTCACTGTAGTTTTCCATCAGCCCTCATGTATCAGTAGCTTGTTCCTCTTTATCGCTGAGTAGGGTGACAGCATGTGGATATCCCTGTACCAGGGATGATTGCTGGATTGTTTCCGGTCTGGAGCTGTGATCACTAATACTGCTCCATACGCTTGAGGATGAGTCCTTTCAGGGACGTATCCTTTCACTTACCTTGAATAAAATTCCTGGGGATGAAATGGTTAGGTCATGCAGTGCGTGTGTGTGTGTCTAACTTTGTTAGAAGCTCCGAACTGTTTCCGAAGTTCCCAGGCCAGGACGACTGCTGGGCCAGCGTGAGGTGTGCGGTCAGCTGTGTGCCAGTCCCAAGCCCGAGGGCCGGCTGGCCAAAGTAGCCTTGGACAGGTGTCTTCTGATTTGCCGTTGACAGGAAGCAGCGCCAGCAATATACACTTTACGAGTAGTGATTATTCTTCTGAAATCTCTGAAGGTGGGCAGCCGTCTCAGGGTATACAGCGGAAAGAAGCCCACCCCACCTTGGCTGAAGACGCCATCTGGAGGATGACTGAGCAGACGCCTCAGTGCATTCTGATGACTTACCAGGTACCGCAGAGGTGAGGGGGCATTCGGGACCCACTTTCTATACTTCCCTGGTTTCTAATGTGGAATAATTCTCAAATGTCTTAGTCAGACTATTAGAAAAGTGTGTTTAGGGTCCAACCACAGTTGGTTTCTCAAAGCAAGGGTTACGGTGACGATGCCACATGTCTTTCAGACCCAGGCTAAACAAACCCATTACTCATCAGAGGCCAGAAAACAAAGAAAGGGTGTCCCTTCCACGGTGGCACACAGTGCAGGGACCTTGTAGCTTCCAGACACCAGGCAGTGTCAAGGAAACCCACTTCTTCTGTCGGCTTCACGGAAGCATACAGTTATTTTCACGAAGGCCTGCTTGACCAAGTCGGCATGTTTCCAGTGTGTACCTCACATACTGCGGAGATGTAAAGTGTGTCACCAACCAAGAGGTCGTGCCACCCTTAGATGCTTTGAGTAGAACCCCAACCTGGGAAGGTGCGGTTTGTGTTTGCAGGGTTAAAGAAGTCGTGCTGAAAGAAGACCTAGAAAAGCTAGAAAGCAGGAGACAACAGCAGCCCCGGTTTTCTCCTGGGCAGAAGGAGGAGCTGGCCAAGGTGCATTCGTGGATTCAAGGCCAGAGTGGCCCCCAAACACACCCCCAAGTAAGCACAGTAACAGCTGCGTTTATTGGTGGACCACACTGGGCGTCTTCTGAGTACAAGTAGCGTTCCTCAGGGTCCCACTGAGAGTTTCAGCCCTTGCGGTCACCTGTCTGGTAAGTGTTATTATCCCTGCTTTACTGATGACAGTGAAGTACGGAGTGCAGAAGTTAAGTAGTGTCCGGTTGTGCAGCTCACTGGATTTTGGATACAGGGCTTCTTGACACCCAAGTGTCTTTCTTCCACTGCTTGGAACATTTGGGATTAGTAAAGAGTAAAGACAGCTTTTATGTGTGATTGACTGGGGAGGCGAGGTATAAGAGGTAGACATTTCAAATACACAGGCGTGTTTCAAAAGAGTAAAATTCTAGCGGAGTGTGCTGGTACCCACCTATAATCCAGCACTCTGGGAAGCTGAGGCAGGAGCATTGCAAGCTTGATCTCAGCCGGGGCGAATTAGCAATTTAGCGAGGCCCTGCCTCAAAAGAAAAAGAAAAATTTTAAAAGAGTGCAAGGGTCGAGGGTTCAGTTTCCAGTACCACCCCCCCCCCAATAATCCAGAAGACAAAGAACAACCAAAGCGAGAGATAAAGTTCAAGCTGCTAGTAAGGATCACAGCAGAGGTAGTATTCTTACCCAGAAGGCACTTGAAGGGGGCTCACGTGGTCTCTTGAGTGTGGAGGCCTCAGAGAGCTCGGCTGGGAGCGTCGTGGACAGTGCCCCTCTTCCTCACCAGTGTCCGCACTGCTGGGAGCGGCAGCCATGGTGGTGGCAGCACTGCGATCTTTATTTCTCCCCTGCACCGTGCCCCGGGCACCCATGCATCGAAGGGCATCTGTGCCCACGAGGCCTGCGTGCCCAGCGACACCTGTGGGAAAGAGGCCAGCAGCAGACGCCTGTCCTCTGCCGCCTTCTCTGCAGTGCCAAAGGCTGCAGGCTCCAGTGCGGAAAGGAGTCCGGAGGGACAAAGGCATGAGGCCGCCCACCTCGTGGTGGGTGACAGGAGGGACCAGAGGGGACGCTGGCAAAGCAGGCGGCACACACCGTCTTGGACATGGCGGCAGCCACTTGTCACCAGGCTAGCGTGTTAGAAATCTGAAATCCAAGCACATCCAGGATTTCCCTGAGCAGCAGCAAAGTTCTGCGATGCTACTGAGTATTTCCAAAGAAAACACATCCACATCTAATCCAAACTTCAGGCGCCCACTTTTAGCCTAAAGGCCCTAGATAAGTCTGTAAGTTAGAAAATTATAGCCCATAGTAGCATGTGACTTTAGCAACCATTAAAATAGTCATGTCATTAAAAGACATTAATGATTTATACTTTGGGTTCCTCATATAAGAGAAACCATGAGATATTTAAGCGTGTGTGTCTGAAGGTGCATCCATTTTCCTATAAATGACTCCAATTTATCCTTCTTTATGGCAGAATAGTACTCCATTATATATAAATATCACATTTTACTAAAGAGCAAAATAAAAGACAGATAAAAGGAAACAGGGAGGCAGACTTTTTGCAAGATTTTGGAAGGGAACCAAGGAATAGAAGGAGGACAGGGGGAGGGGAAGGCGGCGCAGAAAGAATTCAGATGCCTTCTGTTCATGTACCAGCTCCCCACCATGAGTGTGACCATTATGTACTGCTCAGGGACTCATAAAATACAAAGAGAAGCCCGGGACTATGGAAACAAACACACACAGACATTCATGAGTTAAAACATAAGGCGGCTGCTACTGCATAGAAGAGGATTGTGGGCAAGAACTGGGATATAATGTTACAAAATTGAAAATGGTGGCATTGGAGTCAAGGGATGTTTTTCTTAAGTCTCATCCTGTGCGTGCATGCGTGCGTGTGCGGGGTGTGCGTGTGGTGTGTGTGTGTGTGTGTGTGTGTGTGTGTGTGTGTGTACATAGGGTCCTTGGGATTCAGAGGTGGGAAGGGCGTAGGCTCAGACCTGGGGGCCTCTGGGGACCTTTGAGGCGGCTCCCAAAGGAGAGGGCGGCAAACTTCAGCTCCCTCCCCTCCCCGCTCAGGATTTGTCCTCTCTGGTGACTCAGGGGTCCTCCTGACAGTTTTCCCGACGGTTTTCCAGCATGGCCTAATTAAATTTCTACCAAAGGCTTAAGCTTCAAAAACATGAGCTTCCTCCCTCCGACGGAGCTGCAGTGACAGTTGTCACCTTGTCCCGGAGTCGCACCCAGCCGGCATCGGCCCTCGTAGTTCAGTGTGGAGCGATGTGGCCCTGGCCACCCTGAGAGCTGGGCGCCTGACCCTGGCTGCTGATTCCAACTCGGCTCTAGGGTGCACGTGTAAGCGTCTGGAGCAGCAGATGGCGTCTCCCGGTGACGCTTGCTCACGGGCACCAGCGTCCATCGGAGAAGCGATGTGGGTTTTGTTTTGAAGAGGACCTAAACTCACTCGTCTCAGCCATCCCTGCCCTTTAAAACAGGGCCATCACTGTTGAGCATAGTGTTTGTACGCATTGTCCTCAGCCATGGGCACTCCAGGAGGAGGAACTGAGAGGAAGTAGCTCTGCAAGGATTTGGAGCCAATTTGGTACTGAGTGATGAACACTCTCAGAGTGCAGGTGACTCGTGAGAGGTGATCGTGCCCGGGGTGTGTGTGTGTGTGTGTGTGTGTGTGTGTGTGTGTGTGTGTGTGTG